AAAGGTTATAGACTCTAATTTGAGTCTGTAATTAAAAAGGAGACCGACTTTTCATAGAACAAATTCTATCTTAACCATTAGCATCTCTAAACAAAGCTATCTGTAAATTTTATCGTGCTTTTTTGTTTTATTTGTGGCCAGTTTAGATCAGTTAATTTTTAATTAGCCTGCAGAAAGTTGATGAAGAATAGTTTGTTTGAATTTTGAGTAATTTGATTTGAAGGCCAATTATATCTTTTGATTTTTTTTAACGTGCGGTAAAATCCTAAGGGCCTTTTACGCTTGTCTGATCATTATGCTCTGTCTAGCTGCCAAAACACCTAAACAATGTACAAAAATCGCTCAAAAATCCTAATCTCCTTTTCAGAAGAATTATTGATTAAGATGAAGCGGGTGCCACGGCATCGCGCCTAACATCGTTTAATGTTTGAATCACATTGCAATATTGATTAAAAATTGTACAAATTACCACTGATAAAGTAGTTTTTCGAAAACTCGGGCACAAGAATGACGAACGAAATCCTAGTTTTTCCAAGGCATTTCAGAAAGATGAAACCGACAAATTGAGCTACCTTGAAAATCAGTCTTTATGGTTTATCTTAGAGACTGCGACCTTAAGCAATCAGGACGGCAACACCGAAGAAGACATCGATTGAAAAGGAATTTATAATTTAGGTTGGAATTTTGCTTAGGGTTAGATGTGTTTTCCGTCTCTTACGACGCTACACCCCGACTTCACCAGCAGCGTTAACTTAGGTATACGATTTGCTATCGGGGTTTATGTCCACAGACTAAACAAATTTTGGAGGTCTCACGTTGTTGTTTTGCAGATGACGGCTGAGAAATGTACATAGTTTGAAAACGCACGCGCTGAGCTTTAATTCTGCCCATTAGAAATCAGTTTTTTTGGCATGTTCTCGTAGCCGTCACCGTCGTGGTTTCATGCTCAAGGGCCCTATTATGATAATCAAAGCCTCACAAAATTTCTGGAAAAGTGTTTCTGGTTGTTTGGAATTCAGAGAAATTCCATGAAGCAAGTGACTGCGTTGTCAAATTGCGGTCGGTTTATCGATGGCGCGTGTGGTTGGCTTCTCACCACATGGATTCCCTCGTCTTATCACCTCTTCAGCCTCTCAGTTCACCTTTTGATCGTCTTCTTGGCACCTTATGGAATGTGCCATCGGGCTTGTCGCGGTCGAATTGGCAACATTTGCTTCATGTTGCAAACACCTAACATACATGATTTAAAACATGTGTGTTTTAGTACACAATGACTTCGATTGAACCACAAACTCTTTATCTGTGGGAAAGTTCATATCGCATGGTTGTTGCAAAATCGTTGGATAATTAGTAAGCAGAGTAGAGCTTGATGAAAATGAAAGCTGCCATCTTTGGTTCTTACAGCGGCGGAGACTGGGGAGAGATATAAATTTTATATCAAGGGGTGAGCGACAGTAAAAAGGAGTGAGAGGGGAGAGGTGGGGCAATAGAAATAAATGCGTCTTCTCACCTTTCTCAGTCCCCTCCCCCTCCTCCTACCATCCACTCTACATGGCCGGTTTACTAAACGATCTTTATTCCCTTGGTAAAACACCTGCATTATGGGGGGGGGAGGGGGATGGGGGTTTACAGCATGTCACACCCGGACTACCCAATCAGTTGTTATGTTGACAGACATGCACGCTGTATTTTATTGATTGTGAAATTTTTCAAGTTGTGTATATTGTTCAGATTCGCCGGCTCTCTTTATACGGAGATTATATGATTTGAATTTTGAATGAATTTTTGAAAATTCATCTCTCAAAGGGTGGTAAATGTCACGGGGGGAGGGGGGGGAGGGGGTTTCACGAACATCTCTCCAGGACTTCCCCATAAACAAACCTCTTTCTTGCCAAGAACTCGCAATGATATGCAATCTGTTTTTGCTTCAACAAGGCAGCTCTCAACGGTGATCACCCGGAACCAAATCATGGATTTGATCAATTATTTGTCCGCCGAAGAATGGCAAATTGCAGAAGGAGGGAATTTAGAAGGTACAGAAATGGTGGTTACATTAAATCAAATGGATCAGACACACACTGTGCAACATTGAGTGTTACCATAGAGCTAAAAAAAAGCTCATTCATCTAGATACTTCAAATATTTTTTCTTCATTCACAACTGAATTATGAATGACAACTCCAAAGAAAACAGAGTTGGGTTAGGACTTGCATAAATCTGAAAAGCGTGCGTAGTCTTTACCCTTCTTTGCGCGCGTGTTTGACGCGCATGCACCCCCTTGCACCGCGAGTTTCTTCCACCTCCGTGCCTAATGGAAAGATGCTCGCGTTAGCTCCTTACTTCTTATCGTCCTGCTAGTGATCTGCTAGTGCGCGCGCAACCCTCGCTTCACGCGAGGGTTAAGCGCGCTAAACCCTACACCCTAACCCTAATCTTTCTCTTTCCTATCTGTTGCATAGGCAAAAATCTCGGTAATAGGTGAAATTGAAGGTGAGAGAAATGATTAAGTAACAAATGAAATAAACTTTCACAGGTTTTGATGAATACCGCATCATTCGCCGAGCCTCAGAAGGCCAGGGCAAGTACAAATATTCCGCCTTCGATCCGAAAAAGGAACTTCCGGTGGAGCTCCACATTACTGGAGCGTCAGAATCCAGAGATCCCTTGAAGGAAATCCAAGTTATAAACCTGCGCGTCGACGGTAACAAATATATCACAGGGATAAACGACAATGGGGATTGTGTCGTAAGGAAATAAGTGCACCCTATAACATTCAGTCAAAGTTTTTCGATGCACTGAGAGAATAGCTAAATTGTAAAATTTTTAAAACGTCTTCATTATTTCCGATACCTTATACTGCAGACGGGAGTCTTTAAGCTATGACGTCAAGTTATTTTACGAAAGTCCGTGAGTTACTCTGACTAAATGATTTTGATAACCCTTAGAGTTTAAAAATCAATGAAATAGTGATAAACGAGCATATGGAGAAATATGAACGAAAATTGAGACTTAAATAGAAAAAAAAGAAGGCTTGACGTAATCTGACGTAATTTGCGTCAGGCCCTAATCATTAAAGCTCTGAAAGACGCGCGTTTCGCCCTTGGGTGGATTCAAGACGAGTCAGGGAGAGGTTCTCCGGGGATCGGACCTTCATTATAAGTGCTAGAACCCTGCCAGACCTCTCGACGATTTGTGTTGCTCAAGGCCTCATATGGGCTCGATTCCCGCCGCTCTCTCCCGTCCGGTCTTCGCTCCTCCCCGAGAAGAGCCAGCTCGACGCTTCAAGGGGAGGAACGCAGGCTCATATTACCGAACAGCGACTGGTAATCGAGCCTAGACTTCACAATTCCCGCTGGCGAAGAAGAGCTCGTTCTGAAGCGCTAATAATGAGAGCCTGAGACTTGACCACACCCTTGAAAAACAGAACAAATCGCCTCAAAAAATTTACGTAACTGTCTTTGTGAACTTGGTAGCTACAACAGTAAAACTCATTTTCCTTTACCAGATATCTTTTGTATAGACATAAAGATTATCATCAAAAGTATCTTTATCAAGGTCAGCAAATCCTTAGGCCTCCCGTGAAGGAGTGCGAAGAGTAACAAAAGGGGTGCAAAAAACTCTTTAAATCTAAAACTACAGTATATTGCGAGGAGTAACTTCTGGATAAAAACAACAAATTCTTGAAGCAAAATTATGAGAAATGAATGACAGACAATGCAGAAAATTTATATTTAGATCTAGAGGCGTTCAATAATGAATTTTTTATGATTATCAGCGAGAACAAGAAAACATTCACAATTACTGCCTAATTGTGTGTTTAAATTTGAAACAAATTTCTAAGGATGTATTCTAAATTAAAAATTAGAATAAAGGAATTTTTATTTCATGTTTTCGCTTTTAAAAACTCTCTTTAAGTACCCACTAGATGTCACGCAAAAGAGGGTTGTGTGGGATGTCACGCGATGGAAGGCTGTGTGACATCCTGATGTACAGTTGGTATGTAGCCCGCGCAGCGCAGAGCAAGTTTTTGATGCTTAGGAGTCATCCTTTTACCGAAACTTTGGACAAAGAGAATATATCAGAGAGTTATGAAAAACTGAGTGGCGGTCGGAAATGGGGGCGCAGGGAACCTTCAATTTTCAATCCTAAATCCATTGTAGAGAAGATATGTCCAATAAAACGACGCATGCCCTCTTTCGATTTCTCCCCCTAGCAATGACAAAATAATCACACAATGACTGTAAATCACGAGACAAGCGTTTTAATGTTCGTTTACAAGTATTCCATCACGATCAAAACCAAGAACAAAAACAAAAACAAATCTTACAGGACAGAAAATTCTACATATGCGTCAACCCTTATGAAGGAAAGTCATTATTGCTATAACGTGGAATTTGAAACGCTTAACTGTTTCACGTCATAATACATTCTCTTGGGATTTGGCCTGGTGTGCTGACACTAAATACTGACAAGAGTAAATAAGGTCTCATTATTTTCTCCTGATTCTGGATCACTCTTTCGAATGAGACCTTTTTTACATTAATTGACAAAGATTCAAACAACAGCTTTATCACTTTTATCCCAGTGATGGAGAAAGTACAATAAAAAATAATAGAACTCTGAGGCGAACAAGTGAAAAACCAGTTTCAGTGCTTCAATCTGCTCAGGGAAGTTTAGCTTTGCTCAAGCCATGGCTGTGATTTTATTTGTGTACATGCCTTCCCGCTTTTTAAAAAAAAAAGTAGTATTAACCAACTTGATTAAAATGATGCGAAACAACACTCTACTTCTGTTACTTAAAAGTAAGCTTAGTAAAAACCACACATGCGAATAATGCTTTTTACGCACGCTGATTGGCCGGTTCGGAGAAACAAAATCACACATGAAATTTTCGACCGAATATATACTAAAATAAATGCTTCTATTTTACGATAATTGGATATCATAAAAATAATTGGAAAAGACTGAAAAGATGAGAAGTCTAAAAGATAATTCCTAATCGCTTTACATGAAATAAGGAAAATATTTATCTCATATATACAGTGTTACCTGCGGCAAAAAGGTTCCCTTCCAAAGGAAAGGAACCTCTATGTGCACACGACTTCTACCTAGAGGTTAAATATAGAGAAAAAGTTGTATCCACGTCCAAAGGTTCAATATGAAATGTTACACAAGCTGTAACAATAGGCATAGTTTACTGGTAGCCTCGTTTCGGTATCAACTTTAGGGACGGACATTTGCATAACGAGGCAGTTTTGATGTAAATCTTGAAGGCAGATATTAAACAAGACTTAGTTTCTTGGGCCATGAGATTTCTTCGTAACTAAACACAAGCTGAGATACACTACTTTCACAATTAACGATTCTCACAAAACAGTTAAAGTGCATTTCTGTGACAAAATGATTGGGACTCTTGATCTGTGATCAGATCTTCACAACGCAATCTCCGCCATTTCTGATCCCAGTTATAAAGACCTTGTTTCCATCCGCGCGCGTCACGATCTCCAACATGCGGTATTCTTTCAGCGGGTCTTTCCTCTCGTCACCGCCCTCCAAATGAAATATCCTCGGAGGGGCGTCGTTATCGTCAGCGGCACGGACAGCGTATTTATAAACGCTTCCGTCTTTTTGGGAACGTGTGATAATGTATTCTTTAAATTCTAGACCTGAGGAAAAGGGGATTTTGTTTAACCTTGCAATTCGTAATGGTAACTAATGTCTAATTTCCCCTCACAGCATCGCTGCTGAATCAAACGCTATGGTCATGAGAATCATGGAAGGAAATGATCACCCATTAAATTTTTTACACCCGTACTTCAGTATGCATATTCTCCATGCTGCTTAATATGTGTTTCCTAAGGCGCGGTTAAGCAGAATTTGTTGAAATATCAACAACTTCTTTAGTTGGTGATCGTTTCTTTAGTCGTTGGTAGGAGTCAAAGGGTTATGAAAGCTCTTTACTGCTCATTAAATTCTGCTTTTTAGTAATATTATATTAATAATAATAATAATATTAATTATATTAATATTATAGAGAATTTGCATGCTATTATTATGGTTTGAAGGGTTACAGACCACAACTCACCAGGCCATGCGCGTCATCACGAAGAATGATAACGCACGCTATCGTGTTTTGTTAGCCAACGAGCGGCCCTCATTATTATCTCTTCGGTAAGAGCATTTCTTCACTTACGGGAAAGTATGAAGCCCTGAGCGACACGAGCCGAAAAGAGGTCTGCAAGAAGTCTGGCATTGATTAGTTCCAGACTCCCGGCAAACTTCTCCTTGACTCGTCTCCAATCTTCCCTCGGGCGGAAAACGCGAGTCATGAGAGCTTACGCGCATGCTAGTGATCTGCAAGTTATTTTGTGTCTTTCTGAGCCGCAAACGGGAGAGTCTAATTTTTTTGATCAGTTTGATAGAGTGAGGCTGTAAGTATACCGCCAATGAAAAGTGCTTTCTATTATTATTATTACTGAAAATAACGTCAGGAGAATACATCAGCTTTGCTGACAACTTGAGTTTAAAACTTTGAAAGAATTGTTACAAATACTCAAAAACAAATAATCTCCAACAAATGCTATTCATTCCCTTCTTCAATTCAAACCTTGCTGGGCTGAACATTGGTATCTAAAAATCATGCTTTAGGCATGCATTTGATTGGTTCACGAGAAGGCGCGAGATTCGGCGCAAAAGTTGACGTGTTAAAAAACATCCCGACCTTTGAATGGTTAGGAAAAAAGGCGAAAAATTATGACATCTCGGGCGTTTTCTGTTTGTGTGTTTGTTTTTTTTTATCGTCGACTATCTACCTACCATCACTAGATGAGTTTCCTACTTCCTGCCAGTGTGTGCTCGAAAGATTGTTGATCAGACTCATTCTTGCTTCTACTTGACAACCTACGAGGATAGAAAATCACCAAACTTGGTTTAAAAGCTTAGAAGGACCCTCGGCTCGGGGGAAGGGGGGGGGGAAGGAGAGGCATAAGAGCCTCATTGTCCCAGATTTTGAAAAGTGTGGGAAATACGAAGATTTGGAGGACGAAATAAGACGCGTTGCAAGGGAAACGGCAGAAATGAGCTTAAGAGAATTGGGGTTGGGTAAAATTTGGCAAAATCCATAAATTTTCAACATGTTATTTGCCATCTCTCTAGAATTTCCCTGAATGCACTTTAAGGAAGACGTTTTTTTTTCAGCGACGCATAGTAGCCGTGTGGTTAGGCACTAGTTACCAGTTATCATCGCCGGGGGGAGGGGTAGTGGATTTTTGGGGAATCACATGGTTTTTCAGGGGGAATGGATGGGGAATTAGCCTTCTCAGTTGGCCCGAGTTCAGTGTCTTGGCTTTGTTATGAATGAAGCCAACTGGTCTGTCTCCTGCCAATTGGGATTTTTAAACACTATGTTTATTTACAACGTTTGTTTCTAATTTGAATATTTCCGATTTGTCACATAGTTTGCAAGACGCTTTAGATCATATCTTCAGTGTTCACTTGCGCCATAGAAGTATTCATGGGTGCTGTCTGAACAAAATTTCATGGATCTGTATCAGAGGAAATTTAGGGTGTTTCCGTAGACAGCTGACCGAAAAGCCCGTGGGCCCAAAATACAAACATCTGTTTTTCAGAATTGGTGTGTCGGTGGAAAACAAAGTTGCTTTGATTGAGACGGGAATGAATTAGCCGTTGCTTATCGAATGAAATTACAGAAATAACTCCCCGTAGTGACATCCCCCCCTACAGAGACCAAGTTAAAAATTTCTGCAAAACCACAAAATGCATACTTGTAACTGTTGTCAGTTTGCTGCCCCTTCATTATACAGAACAGCAACAAACTTACCTGTTCATGAATTACATCTGACGCATTTCATTTAATAGCTAGCGAGCATCAACGAAAAGATTAGATAATTCGCTTTGAGTTAATAGCTTCATTAACTAGAGAAAGATTTGGTTTGGATATTAACACTTTCGAGATGCGAAGCTCGACGGCAAGAGCAATTTTATACCAAAAAGACGCTTGTATTTATGTAGTAAAAGTATGTGATCTTTTCAGCCCTAGCAGAGCGCCATTTCAGTCATGTTAGGACATTTCTGAGAAACAGATGTGAGAACAGATGTGAAACTGGTGTCATTAGTAACAAATAATTAATATGCAAATTACGATCATTGGTAAAGAGTAATTAGGATTATGCTCTCTTTCCAAGCAGACAAACAACAGATGACTGTTTCAAATCTAGTTGCGAGTCTCCCTCCAATTACACTGATGTTTTTTGTGTCTGCTTCGCGAAATCGATCTGCCTGTATTTTTGAAGTGTGCGAAAGGGTTTAAATTAGGGTGTAAATGACTGCTAATATGTAAACAAAACAACACATTTTTGCAACAGATAGTTATCTAAGCGTAAAATTATCACAAATTGAACTGGTAAAAGCTAGTACTGTGCGAATCTTTGATATTTTCTGAAATTCGAAAAATTTCAAGGGCTTTCTCCAAAGCCTCGATATTTCAGCTTCAAGACTTGAAACTTAATCGTGATTGAGCGGTTCAAGAGTATTCCTTAAGAACACAGAAATAGTTTATCATAAGGATGCAGTTTTTTTTTCAACAGATGCAAGTTTTCCAACGCTTTCCAGTAGTCGGCTTCCATGTTATGATTCACGTTCTCCCTAGGATTTTTCTTAAAACTGAAAGAAGCCCTTGAAAACTGCGATTTCAACCAAGGTGTTAATTTGCTCAGGTGTCGCTCGCAATGGGGTGTCCTTTAAGCGTAGATAAACAAATAGAGTTTTTAACTGTTTCAAACTGACGTAAAACATACCCGTGATTTCGTATTTCTTACCAACTCATCCCAGTTCAAGTAACAGAGGCTGGTGAAACTTACTGCTACTTTTAATCTGACCGGTTTGTCAAGATGAGTGTTAGAACAATTACGATTTTTGAATCTATCTAATGACAGCATTCTTTGTTTTCAGTTTGTAAATGGTCAAAATAACACATCACATCAAATCTTTCCCATCGATCTAGGTAGTGATAAGCGCTCGAAATAGTCTGTTGTTGTATAAACATAAAAAAGTGTACATGAAACTGTAATTATGTTGCCTCCGCGCGTAGTCACAATTCTCTGATTCACTGACCGGGACGGTACACAGCGGAAGCGCTCTCATTTTTTTTTTCTGGACACGTGTACAAGTTATGAGAGCGTTCCCATTCAGTGTTTCAAACGATTAGCTCTCGATAGACAAAAACAAACCTCACCTGAAGGTTTAAAACGCTAAAGGGCAAACCACAGAGTCGCTTGAACGTCACAGCTTGACAGTCTACCTCTCGAATGACGAATGACACAGGTTTTTTGCTAGATATAAATTACCACTTGACAAATCTGTCAATCAGTTTGTGTCGACTATTGTTCTCGAAAAGTAAAATATTTCAGTTATCAGCAAGCGAGAATCTAAACCAATAGGGCAATATAACTGTTGTTTCGAAACTTAAATGCTTTTATTCAACTCTACAAACGTGTACACAGTGATAGAAATTGATCCAACTGCGTATAGACCCAACTAAGGAATAAACCCACAGGCGACAAAATGGTTGGTTAGATTCCTACCGAGATGGACGGACAATATTTACTACACCCCCTGTGGTTTGTTTTTCTTGTTATGGGCGACACGGGGCGACACACAATTGCTTCTGAAAGCAATGTAATCATTTTAGTCTCAGGTTTCGAGCAGTTTTCAATCGAATGTCGAAAGTAGCCAGGATTTTATTGGTTTTGCTGTACCACGCCCTGTGATTGGTCCAATGAAACTCGCGCCAACCTCTCCACCAATTAGATGCAGAACTTACACCCAAACGCGACTCGGCACTCCCGTTTTCCCGCCCTTTTGCGTGTTTTTACTTTGAATTCTCATTGGCTTCTTGTGGTATTTTTCTTCACGGTGATTGGTCGTTGCGATTGCTTTATCGAGTGTCGTGCAACGGCCTAAATCGACAGAACAGAGCACAGCCGAGGCTTTGCTATTTGTTAAATAAATGTTATTGGGTAAAAGATTGATTTCTTTCTATTTAGTCCTTCTAATAATAGTTCATTAATATTACGCAGCATCTTTGGTTGCTACTCGTGTGATTACGCCGTCTTGCAGCGAACTGCATTGAAGTTCCTCGTCTGAAATACCGTAAATCTGAAAAGAAAAGTAAAATGATAGAGTTTCGTTATTTCTAAAAAACCTTACCAAATTGTGTACATAGAAACATCTTCAAATATTCATTGTTGACCCATCTGCTCCCATTTTGATGATAGCAACATCTGTTTGTCATTTTCGCACTTACCGTAGTAATTACAAATAAACTGATAAATTACTCCAGATTATTTCTTGATAGCAATCACCTCGGGAATGAGTACAGTAGATCTCAAAATGAAATACATCAGTTACCTTCTTTATTTTTTCTTGGTCAGAAATTGTGCTCAATGCAGTAATAGAAACTTGTTCTCCATTTATAAATTTACTGATTTCTGAAATCTGTGGAGAAATTAAAAATAATGTGTTTGCTCATATAATATATACAAGTCCCTTAATGTTCAAAACTAAGCAATTTATACCAAAAGTTTAGACATAAAAATCAACTTCTTTCTTTTTCTATTTTCTTTCATTTAAGTTCCACAGTTTTTAGGCCACAAACCTACTGTACAAATTAAACTTAGAAATTCTCTGAGAGCCTTAATGTACTTTGTATGTCCAAAAAAACCTTATTTCTGTCACGAATTTTGCATTCAAGAATCTGTCTCAAAAAAATAATTGACACGTAACATTAATATTCCAGAAGACGTGAATTGTTTCTAATAGTCACATGTAGCCGAATTCCTCAATAGCACAAGTGTCAATGCTGTGCCTTTCTAAAGTAAAGCCATGCACAAATAACACCATAGACATGATGGTGAATACAACTTGCTATTCACTTCTGAACTAGCCAATCAGCACACATGAAAGGCACTGTTCACTTGTGTGGTATATTCTAAGTACTAATATCACAGTCAAGAAGTAGATGACTGTCTGATGTAGTAAAGTTTTAAAAACTAACAAATGTAGATACCAGGTATGAAACTTATGCAAACCTTTTCGTTGGCATTTTCTTGAGTCACAATGACAACTAACACACTTGTTGTACTGTCCAGTATTCCAAATTTCTTGAAAGATTCATTTATCTAAAAAAACAATCATATAAGATATTTCACACCAGTTTGATGGATAATACCTTCCTTTCAATGACAAGATTAACATCCCGGCCATTCTTAGATTCTCCTTTTCCCAGGGTGTTGAAGATTTGACTAAGCACTTAAAATAATCTTAGGTGAGAATTCAATTCTTATAAGGAAAGCCTGTATAGGCCACTGTATAGGCCACTGTAAGGATGGTAACATCAGTTTTAATATGTTTCTCTGATTCTTTGGCAAAAGATTCAGTTCCAAACTCACATAAATTCATTATGATACAGGCATATATTAATAAAAAGCTCCATTTCATCAATTCTATAATATGTATTACTCAACACTCAGGCCAACTGGCCCCATCTGGCTGCAATTCAATACTGTTTCTGTAGAATGAAGTGACTAAGAGTGCAACTACCCACCCTCCCCCAGATGGGATACCAGTCTATTGCAAGGTTACCCCCCAGCATTTCATCAGGCTTCCCTAACACTTCCCCAGTACTCAGTTACACTCCTGGGTGGAGAGATGCTCTGTGAAAATACAGTATCTTGCCCAAGAACAGAATACAATGATCCAGCCACGGAATAAAATCAAACCTCTTGACCCACAGTCTAGTGCACTATGCATTAGGATACTGCATCCCCCACAATGTAACATATACACACAGTCAAGACTGTATCATTTATAATCCATTTAACCCTTTACACCCTAATATCAGTATGCATATTCTCCATACTGTTCTCTATACATTTCCTAATGATCTGACAAGGAGAATTTGTTTAAAAATCAGGAGTTTCTTTAGTTAATTATCATTTTCTTTATTCTTGTGTGACTTTAACCCTTTCACTCCCAAGATCTAATAAGTAATTCTCCTTTCTGTCTCCCATACAATTCTTATGATATTAGTTAGGAGAATTTGGGTTTGGATCAACCAATGATCCCCTGATTGATATTTTTCTTTATTTTCCTTACTTATCTTCTTGATATTGTCTTGATATTGTTAGGAGAAATTCTGTCTTGGTCACTCATGGGAGTGAGAGGGTTAATGTGTGATTCAAGGGTGATACAGAAAGGAGAAATTAGATGCTTATCACTCTTAGGATGCAATGGGTTAATCCACAAAAAGGGAATTCATTCATAGTCACAATCCAAAGTGCTTCAAAGACCTGCTTAAAAAAAAATTACTTGCTTTATAGGTGGGGCTATGCACTAATACCTCAGCTAAGTTTCGTCAATGTATTGTTACTTAATGTATTTTCTTACATTTGTGGAGGGTGACAAATTAAAAACAATCTCTGAATGAAGTGTCTTGGTCTTCATCTTTCCTTGTTGAAACAGTTGCAGAGCTTTGTGTCCTGCTATTGCCACATGAAATGGGTCTATGATCTAAAAAGCATAATCACAGGCATATACCGTATACAAAATCACTCTCGAGAGAAATACAAAGCCTGAGACTTTACAGAGTAAACTTTTGGCTAGTCTGCCTATGACATACAGAAGATGCTGGGTAAAATATTGTTACTTTTCAAGCAGCTAAAGTGCAGAATCCCCGGCAAGTTTTTTCACATCGCATTGAATATAAAAATCTTCCATTGGTTTTATCTCGTACCCCCAAACTTGTCAACCGTCGACTCATATACCATATATATGTAAGCAAAAGGTGTACATATTTCCATCTTTTTTTTCAAATTGCAACGTATTTAAAAACGGGTGTGTTTATATTCATATGTACGCTTATTGACCTCTGCTTTCTCTGAAATTCTTCCAAATGCAAGTAAACTTTCTCCTCAAGTCTCAACCGAAGCTTATGTATGGTAACATGTGAGCTAACCCAAGCTATGTACGAAGTTAGTAAATATACAAGTGAAATGACCGTACCATAGATGCATTTAAAAGGGCAGCTTCTATTTTTCCTTGGATGATCAGTTGCCTAAGCTCGCTACTGTTTGTCACATCCGTAAATAGAGCCAGATTCGTGGTATAACTCGGGTTACTTTGCACGCTGTATTGGACGATAAACTCTTCCGCCATCTTGAAATCAGCTGAGCATGCAGATCAGCGGCTACGCATTCTAGTCCCAATCTTTCTCGGTTTTAACACTGTTTCACACGTTCTAAGCATTTTGCGAAGCAACTCCCGAACAAAAAAGGTCCAGCTGTGGTTCATTCCTTATTTGGAGATTCTGAATGGGAACTGTGGGTTCACGGACTGATGAAGAAGTTTCAAACCAAGAATATCCTCATGGAAAAGTGAGGAGTGGGTCATGAAGTGTTGAAAGGAAATTCATTATTTTGTTCGTATGTATGTTTGTTCTTTCCAAATCGAAACTTTGAAATTTATCGAGGTTCGTGGTATGAAGGAAGGAGATGAGCATATATCTTATTGGGAAAACACGGTTCTATAAATAGAATGGGACTCTTCTGTTGTTATACTGGTCACGTACGTCATCACTTAAAAATACGCGAGCGAAAGAGAGGGCAGAGAGCTGGAAACCAGCTAAAAAAGGCTCGTTTCGGGGCCACTCGTTCATGAATGCTTGGGACGCTGTGAGGAACACCGGGTCGGCCTTGTAGAACTCACATAGGAAACAATCAATAATCCTTTACACCACTTTGTCGTTGACAATATGACAATAGTTGTTCCTATTCAAGTGAACAAGTTGATTGACATTTGATTGATAAATGATTTGTAATTAACAGGTTGAGGCGTAGCCGTTTGAGCCAGAAAATTAACCATTGATCCATAAGCGAAACAGTTTTTGACATAGCGTTTTTTCACAAGCACGTTTACTTCGCTTACCTGTTGAACTGTTTGGTGACCCGCTTGTTATTCTTTGATAAAAAAAAGATTTGGCAGGACAACGCTACAGAAGTAAGTCATGTCGTTTACCATTTGAACTCTGAGTATTTTCATTACAGTTCTCTTCTATACAATTTCCATGAATCTTTCGTAATGAGATTTTCTTACGTATCATAAAATTCCCGTCTATTAGATCCAATAAAAACTTAATACGATTTGTAGTCAGTTGTTGAGAGCGAACTATTTTCCCCAAAGCGATTGCAACTCAGATTCTTGCAACGAAAACCAAAGAGTTTACTTTAATTAGAGTTCGATTTTGAAGGTACAGGCTTGTTAAGTTTCAGTATGATGTAACTTTAAAATGTCTCATCGTCGGCGTCGAAGTCTGGGAATGAAATGCTTAGCCGAACGATTAGATTCCTTTGGAGGAAGAACCTACAAACGAAAACGAAAACGAAAAATCATAAATTAAATTATTTTAAAAACAAGCGTTGTGCTGGTGATAACTAATTACTTGGAAATCCTCAGCGGGATAGCGGAATGAGAATAAAAAAAAAACCGCTTTCATTACTAAATTGAAAAGATCTCTGGTTCTTCTTGTTGTGTACTAACAGTTTGTTTACATCGGGCAAAAAAAGTAGCCTATTGGAAAATCTTTTATTTAAGCAGGACAATGAAAAAGGATATAGCCTTATGGATCCTTGTTACCAAAAATGAAGATAAAATACCTGAGATTTCAGTGTTTCCTTGAGCTCACAGATTTGAGTCTTCAGATCTTCAAGCTCACTGCAACACAAAGCAACAAAGCTAAAGAATGATTTATGTTTATTTTTTTAATAAATATCGCATACTAACTTGTTTCAGACATGATTTTATAAACAATGAGTTGTTTTTTCTTCTTCTTCTTCTTCTTCTTTATAGCAATTTGTTTGATTATCATATTTTTCTTAGATATAAAGGTTGGATTTTTCAGAAGAGGGAGAAGGGGGAAGGACGTCTTTTATTAGCGTTCAATGAGAATCTAAGAGCTTCCTAATATGTTTCACTAAGTTTTATTTTTTCTGAACCAGAAAGGAGTCAGTCATGTCATGGGGTCATGCACACCTCACCCCACTCTCTGCAACGCTCTAGTTTTCGAATACTGCCGTTTATTACTTGGGAAATATAGAATCACGTCAAATCGATTTTACAATTACACTGGATTCCTCAAGTATTACTATAAGTCCACTGAACTTACTTGTCTTTTTCGTTAAGCTCCATCTTGGCCTGAAAGCGACGAAAAAAAAAATATGTATGTAAGACAAACTTAAATAGTGTGATCGGATCGGTCAAGGCTGGAACACTTTTGCTAGCCAAGAAGCCACCACGATTGAGAGCCCGCCCCTTACCAGACTGCTCGCAAACGGTAAAACAAGAAAGCTGCGGGGAAAAATAGGCTTCCTATTTTGTAACAGACCTAAACGTCCATTTTGAGGTTTTCTTGTGAGAAGAGAAACAAACTGCTTTAGATGTTCGGGGCAATGTAAAGTTTGTTGTTAAACATGCCTTTTTTTTATTATTTTTCTTCCCATATCTCTGCAAATGTAGGAAAGACAAAACACAGACACCCAAAAAAAATTGCGGTACAAACTATCGATAAATGAAATTACATTGAAACACTCTTCCTGGCCTACCTCAACACGCCAAATCGAAAATTGCCTTTCTCTCTCAGCAACTCCTCTGCAACAAAAATACAACCGTTTTTTATTCAAGCGAAAGACGAAGTTATTCAATTAATTGCACGGGACTTTCTGATTAGTACTTCTTTTTAATCCAAAATTAAATAAATCTATTGTAGCCTCAGAAAATTTCATCATCTTCCTTTACATTTCCTATCTGTTTTTTCCTCTTGACTTTTTTACAAGTTGGGTCACCTGTGACATAACTGCTAGACGTTTAGTTTCTGACATTTTCAACTTGAGTGAAAGAGAGTTGTGGTTGAAAGAACATGTTCAAAACATTACCTCTCCATGTCTTTACATTCAACTGGGAGGAGCTATGAAAGGAAAAAAAAACATCTGTTCTCATCAAATTATAATTAGATGTCGCGTAGAAAATTTTTTTTGATTTTGAATTTCAAATTACAATTTATCTCTTCCTCTCCCCCCTTTGTACTTTTTTTTTTGTATTCACGTGCGAAGCGCGTGATTTCACAAATTAGCCAATCAAATCAAAGAATTCTAACTTAATATTGAAAACTGACGTAGACATTTTTCGCGTACTTTTGTTGTTTGTTTTTACGGAGTTGTTAGTCAGTTCTTTTTTTTAGCTTTTGTTCGCGCAAATGTGCTACCCTTTTCTTTGTATTTTTAAGAATTTTCAGAGTTTAGCCAAATGTTGTACTTCATTAAACAAGTTTAATACATAATTTCTACGGAGTTTGGACTCCGGCCACTTTTTTCGTAACTGGATTTTCTATGTGCAGCTATATGTATACAATATCATGCAGACAAGTGATGAGAATAAAGAAAAATATCAATCATGGTATTACTAATTGATCCGATACCAAATTCTCCAAACTAACAAAATGAGAATCATTTGGCCATTTTGCAGACAGTAAGGAGAATTACTAATGAGATCTTAGGAGTTTAATTACGTTCAATCAACATTTGTACCAAAGTCAAATCATAATTATTCTGACCTCTAACTCCGCGTTGATCTCGTGTTTGGACGCTTTCAGGAGACGTCCCTGTTAATAAATCAACACAACGAAAATTTCATGAAACAATAGGGGGATAGGTAACAGTATTTAGAGAACGCTAATTATTTTTGGTTTTTAGGGGGGACGGGGAGGGGATCAGTCGTCGCCAACAGAGCGTGAACAGAAGGGGTACTATAGAAATTGACTGCCAGCAAGAGAGAGGGGGGGAGTCATAGGAATTTTACCTTCTGGGAGGATCATACAGTGACACAATTAGCCAAAATCCTCTGATCCTCCAACCCCTCGACCCCCCCGGCTATAAATAATGGCCGGTTCCTTCTGATGGCCCTACAGGGACGATGATGCAGAGAATTGTGGTTTAAGAAAAAACCAAGATCAGAACTAGAAGTAATCACAGCTTATCGAGTGCGTTCGTGTTAACAGTTGACACTGCAGTTTGGCGTGGTTTTACCTGTCTGCTATTTTGTCAAGAGAGGCTCAAGCTCCTTATGCAATTATTTGTACCCGAAAATTGCTTTAATTATTGCAGTTTAGTCTCTTATCAAAAATTATTTAGGTTTAGTCCAAGAAGTGCGCAATGTAACATGAGCATCACGTCATTCAAGATGGCGCCGAAATGGTAGATGATCCATTGGGAAAAATTCGTGGAGCTTTCGCTATGGTTACACAGGACACCCAAGAATTCACAGAAACAAATTAGGTAGCGTTCTCCTAAAGTCACAAATAAGGCAGTGTTCTCCAAAAGTCGAGCGTAATATTTCCCGTATATTTACATAACTGATAACTCTTTGAAACGAAATAACGTGATACAACGTGGCCTGTTCAAAGATGAGAATTTCACTTACCTTTCGTGCTATTTCTTTCTCTCTTTCGAAAAGCTCTTTCATTGTTCTGTGGAGAATAAAAAAAGTAAGCCGGCCACATTAAATGTAGCTGTTCCCCAGAGACGACAAGGAAGCCGTCAATGTAGTTATTCGTTCGTTTAGGACTGCATTAATTCAACAATTTAGAAGACCTGAATCTAGAATTTGAAACCACATCTCTATAGAGCCTGATTATGTTTACCTGTATGTCTCAGTTTTCTTCATCTGATAAAAAGAAAAAAAAGATACGAGTTACGTGTTACATGTTAGAGATAGACCTTTACAATAGACCCATACTGAAGAGGACTTTCAGATTATACATACCTTTATTGTTTATATATTTTTCTGAGTGAACATTGTGTTTTTGATGAAAAATTTGGGCAAACTTTTTTTTAATCTCTTGGGAAGCTAACCTTTGAGGCAATCGGTGCACACATTCCTTCCAGGCTTCTTGCTAATTGTGTACGAGTCGCGAACGTTTCCAGTATGATGCTTTTGTAATTATTTCATCTTTTCATACAACCTTTCTACAGGTCAGTCCCAAGTCAGTTATGTTTAATGACAAGTAAAAAGCTAACTAAAAAAAACTTTATCTCCCGTTATCTGTTATTATTATGGCTGTAAACTTGAGCTTAAAGAATGTAGGACATGTATCATGTATCAAAACCGACAACAAAAAGCAGTATGCGACCTCTGCCATAATAGTGCATTCATACCTTAAATTTCTGTTCAGTTTCGAAACTGTTAGGGATTGCTTCCTAAGAAACAGTAAGGAGAGAATGAAAAGGCTTGGAAGAATTTCGCTGATTTAGCAAGGTTGCCCTAGCAGTCAGCGAAGAAAGAAGTATTCAGAAGGCTATATGTTTTCTCTTCGGTTTGTATTCGATTTCTCTTCGGTAGATTTCGGTTTTTCTTCGGTTTCTATAGTTGATGAAGGCGAATTCCGAATCAATAATCACGTGTTGAAATCGTGAGCAAACAATCTAATATTCGTTCAAAACTTAGCAACAGGAGAGACTTGTGTTGTTATTTTATTTTGTTTACGACAACAAACTGTTTGATTCCTTACTCTACTCTCTGTGTATCCCAGAATGGATAGCGAGTAGTGTAGCCAATCAGATTTTGGCATTTGTTATAGAGTGTTAATAGATTTACAATGATTAAATATAGTGTAAACTTGCTCACCTCCTTTTCTTCAAGTTCCCTTGTTAGTTGTGCAATCTCGCTGTAAATGAAAACGCGATGGTTAGTCGCCTTTGACAACAACTTGTGGACAGCTACGCACTCAAATATAAGTTCTGGTTTTCCCACGTTCATTACAACTGAGCCAAGATGTCGACCATGGAACACGGGGAGTGATCTCTGGCTGTAAGGATGGAGTTTTCGTTCGGTACAAAAACGAGGCTGTGACGACGTTGGAGGAATATTTGTGAGGCAAGATTTCATCGTGGTCGGTTAATGAAAAACGATTGACTGGCTTTTTCAACCACGGTAATAAGTGCAGAGGCTTATCATAGTTTGTCGTACTGGAAAGTTTAGAAGAATTAACAAACTGGTCGCAAACCTCTCTAGGTCTTCCTTTAACTGATTCTTTTCCTGCGGATAGAAGAACAGAAAAAAAAAACATAAACGGCGGCCGATTTCAACCAAAATCTTTAATCACTAGCTCTTATTTGTGCTTGTATTGATGAACATCGAAGCCAGAAAAACCGTACATAAAAAACCCCACTCCCCCTCCCCTACGATCTCCCCACATAAAAGCTCAGGTCGACTTAAGTCTAAGGAAGCCCGAACAAAAGAGTCTAATTATCGTCCACACTGGCGGAACCCTTAGCGAGTTTTACAGTCACAAGCATCTCGGGAAAAGTGACCTATCAAATACATCAAGTCAGACGTACTGATAAGGAAGTTTTCATTGAAATTTGACCCAGCCTATCAAAATTTGGCGCCCGGTCTCCCTCGCAGTCTTTTTTGCGACGTCATGCAACACGAGAGCAAGACAGAGTCACATGACACCACCTAAATGGAGATTTCCCTCAGCATAATAGTAAATAGCTTGAATTGCCTGTGAGCTTCGTCGCGATGGTTTCAGTAAAAGGCTAAGACACTCACCCGATTATGGGGTGGAAGGGATTGACCCAGCTGCGATAAGTTTTCGTTCTGCATGTAATAAGCCTGTTTTTAAGGTCATGTTGGTTTTAAAATTGTCCAGAGTACAAGCGGCTTACACATGATTTTAAAAGCGCATTGCATCACAATGATCAAACCTTGAAATTTAAAAGTGACGATTCCTTCACGGTCATCAACTGGTTGATCTGTTTTTGAAAGATAAAATATTTAGTTAGTCAGATGGTATCTGATAAAACACACTGCAGGAGCACTTAGTGAACGGCACGATGGTAGCAGCAGAGAAAAAACCGAGGGAGATTTGGGTCGAATTTGGGTCCAACCCTTCCCCTCTTTTACACTCATTTGCTACAATTGTGCCGGTTTTTTTATATGCTTCGTTTTATTTGCTGAATGGGGAATGGGGGGAGGGGGGGGGGGAACGATATGAAACGGAGGAAAAAGAAGCTTCACAGTCTTCTGGATAAAAAAATTCTAATCTTACCTCATTTTTGCAGTTTGTTGCTTTCTCTGTGAGCTCTTCAGCGGTGCTATTCAAGGGGAAGATATTTATAAAGTTTCATATCCAGATCTACCGTAAAATGTGTGGTCAACTATTTTTTTTCATTGAACACTGGTAAAAGGATATTAGATGGATCTAACTTGCAGAAAAGAAGAGAGATAAAGCTTCAGCACGAACAATTAAACTTCTCCATCGCGATTTTCATTTCTTTTTGTTCGCATAGCACTTAAAGTAAATGTTGCAAAATGATTTGCAATGCCAAAAGTTGCTACGCATCTTAAGAAACAAGAAAAGGGGAACGGTCGGGGAACGGAGGGGGACCCCTCTTTATAACAGGGTATATAGGGGGGGTCTATAGAAAATTGACTGCCAATGAGGGGGATCATTAGAAAACTACAGAGCCTGAGGGGGATCAGATAAAATTTCATTGTCACACACCCTAAAATCCCCCACCCCCTACCCCTCCCCCTCACACAGGGTAATAAATAATGCCCAGTCCCTTTGGTTAGTTAAATTTTTAACGAAATGCGCGTTAGCACCAAAGATGTCGGCTGCTCCCTTGAAATAAGAGAAGCCCCACAGTAAAGAAAACCGATTAATTGCACTTGTTAGAGAAAATGCCGAAGAGAGAAAGACAGCTGCAAAACTACGTACTCACCTTCGCAACTTTTTTATCTTGTCTACGTTCGCCTAAAATAGGGGGAAAAACCCAGGAAAACAAAGAAGTTAGAATAAAGAAGTAGACTTGACGCAGTGAATTGTTTTTTTGAATTTAAAAAACTAAACCACCGTTTACTCACAGCATTGATATAATATTTCTCTTCTTGAATCCTGCTTACATTACATTGTCTGAACAAAAAATAAAGAGAACAATATTCGATAAAAAGCATAAACAAACAAATAATTTGGTGGTACTGTTTTATTAAGAGCCCATTACTTTTACTGTATATGAGTATATGTGATACCGGGTACGATAGAAAACAGTATTTCGGCAAATACTCAAGAATAATCCAGAAAAATATGTCTAGGTCTCTTCTCTCACTCTCGCAAGACCTTTCAATAAAAACAGTCATCCTTTCATGCACATCGCAAAAGTCTGTGGCATCATTTTCCGAGGCGAACACAAATATCGTAGAGGAAAGTCGAGGTGAGTCACTTTGTGAGCTAGTACCAGTCCACCGCCCTGCCCAAACGGTAACTTACGTCATCTCGAATCTCTACGTAGGCCGCTGAGGTTTTAATCTTTCAAATACTGATGCGTTATGATCATAAAGACTTTACGTGCTTATTTAAACTTTCATCCATAGAAAGCCTTGTTTTAACCGTCTGCAATTTACAAAAATCTTTGAACACTTCGTCAATACGAAGTGTTTTCAGTAAGTTAGTAGAAGGAGCCACCTCAGGGGCAAATCACATCTCATAATACTCTTGTAGGGTAACACTAAATACAACACAGAGATCGACCCTTTAATGATCTGGAACTGATACTTGCTTGTAATTCTGCACATGCTCCGCCCGCAATTTAACCAATTCAATCTGTTAAAAAATAAAAAGTGTTTGGTGAAAAACAGTTTCATTAAACCTAACGATCCGCCTGGCTCGTAAGACCACTGGTAACTTAAGTTTTTTTAATCTAAACTGAGGAGGAAACTTCATTACATGTTATTTCTTACAATAAGTTTACATTTTCACCTTCATGGCACCGGTCTCCGTCTCAAGTCTTTTACGCGCTTCTTTCACAGTCAGTTGAACATCTCTGCATGGGAATTTAAATGGAAAAATTTAGTTGTGCAAGAGAAGGATGTTAACTAATTTATGTCCAGTTATTCAAGTGCACCAAGTAATATTATAGATCAGTAGCATGTGTTCAGCTGACCCCTTCTCTCACTCGAGAACACTGAATAGGTGCATATTTACATAAAGAGTAACAGGTTTACCTCGATGAAAGAACCTGTTAGTTTTTTTCTCTCTTTCAGTACTCTTTTTTCCTGATCTCTATTGTTTCGACCTTTTTTGTTTGTTTCGTTCTACGTCACTTGTGGAAAAAACGAGGTTTATTTTTTACCGAAGATGTGCCGGAGCAATTGTTAAAGGAAACTTGACCAGCAAATTCAAAGGACTTTGGAATCCTGACACACTTAGACTACTGACTACTGCATTAGCTCCAAGCTGTGGCTAAAACAATATGCTAATGCTTTTAAAATAATTGATTCTTATTTTTCTCTTTGGTAACTTTTTAAGCTTTCCCTTTTGCATGTATTCTCTGTCTCGCGTAGCGTGCGTGCGTGCGAGTGAGCCTTCATTAGTGTAGCGCTTCAGGACAAGCGTTTCTTGCCCCACGGGAAGGATAAAGCCTTGAACCACACGAGCCAGCAAGAGGTCTGCCCGGCATCATTAGTGCCAGACCTCCGACAAACCTCTCTGACTAGTCTCCAGTCTTCCCACGGGCGGAGAAACGCGCGTCCCAAATTCCTACAGCTCTAGTCAGGTGAGGGTACGCTCGCTGGTTGTGTCATATGCAAGCTAATTTTTATGAATTTTAACTCTGGTTACCCTTCCACTTCTAGTAGAATTGATAAACTTTTCAGCCGTATAAATCCAATAGGTAACTTACTGAATTGTAGTCAGTGCCGTATGAATCGAGCTTTTCTTGGACTCGATAAGATCCCTCAAATCCTAATGAAAAAAAGGTATAGATGTATGAAATTTACTTAGATGGGTTCTCTGATTTGAAAACATTCAAGGTCAAGAAAAAAAAGTTGCGATGACATTCTTTTCTTCACACCCTCTTTAATTCCAAGGTGAAGGCCTGAATGCTTATCCAATTACGCTATTTTCCAGAAATTTCGGGAAACGCCAACTATACTGATCTGATTCCGTAAAGCTACCCCTGGGCTGTAAGAAAAAATACCTTTGCAAAGGTTGATTAAATTTTTGCGAGAAACTGTAAGCATATAGCTTGTGTTTAGACCTACCTTGTTTGCCTGTTCAAGATCATTACATTTCGACATTAAATTGTTGTCAGACAAAGGCACATCGCTGTTATTAGAGGACGATTCTTTCGCAGGAGAGGATAACTTTTCCTTGCGGTTTGTGCGAACTAAAACAAATACAATACGTTAGAAAGTAAAGTAATTTTTGATTCAGTGTCGTAAAACCAAAACCAATGTAATCACATTGGCGAATCAGGGCAAAGGAATATACCCTCGAGAGCCAATGAGAACTCAAGCTAAAAAAAGACCAACCGCCAACTGCACGGGAAAACGTGCCGGGCGACCAAGGTTTTAGTTTCGCACCTGATTGGCTGAGATAATGGCGCGAGAACCAATCACAGAGCGAAGTAAAGCAAAACCCAAACAATCTCGGATTACTTTCGACGCTCAATATGATGATTGAAGATTGCTCTAATGAAAATGGTTTATGTTATGGTAATGGAATGTATTAAACACGTTTTCCAGTACTAAAATGATCGTTGACCGTCTTTGTTGTAAAGATAATTGAGGAGGAATGAGTAAGATAATGTCATATTGCTGTGGAGCCTATTGCTGAGGAGCTTATTGCCGTGAAGTTTATTATTGCCGTGGAGCCAGCATATGATTCGCCCTAGATGACAGTTTTGGTAACAACTATCGAAACGTTTGGTTGTATGTAATTTTTTCACTTTTACTCTTAAGGTTTAGCGCGCAAACATCCCCACACGATTTACCATGAAAATAACCTGGAAATTTCCAGCCAGCCGGTCACTTGCTTTTGTTTAAGATCATAGAATCGTTTCATTGACTTACGCTCAGAGTATTTCTTCTTACAACTCGCCATCGTAGTTTTTTAACTGTTCTGTTTGCAAGTCTGAACGTCTTTCCTGCCAGCTAACTCTGCAAAATTTTTTTGCCGTTTTCAATTTCTGACGCGTGATCTCTCTTTGTGACGTGTAACTTACGTTAGCATTACGTGAAAGAAAATTTGCGCGCGCTACCACGCCCAACCCTGTTTCAGCAGTGCCGAGAGCGAGGTTGGGCCAACCTCTCTCCGCCCTGCTTTCAGCCTTCCTTGAGACTAGTAATAGAAGTATCTTTTCCTGGTTCGTCGCAAACTACGAAAATTTGTGCTTAATTGTCTGGGCACAGCTAGATGAACTAGACATCACTTCTCATCTGTAGTAACGTTAGCTTCTCTGTGCAATTTATTCATATTTCTGCGAGCGAAGCGCGCGCGCGTGCGCCAGGCCGAGCCGGGCATCCTCCACTCTCTAGAGCTCGCTTTCGTTGTTTTGCTTTTAGCTCCTGTTTTCTCGTACTCTGAACGAAGATTTAAATGAATAGAGGATCATCCACTAGCATGTGAGACGAAAGCGTAAATCTAAGGCGACGTGACCCAAATAATTAGAGGTAGCGTCCATGCTGCGTTACGTACGCGTCGCTGCCGCGCTACCGCTTATGTCAGAAGTCCCAGCCAGTTTAGGATGTATCCACCAGATATAGGCGCAGCTACTCTTTTTTGACGTCGAAAGGCTTTTTAGACGTCACCATCCACCTCAAGCGTCCCCACCCAATTGAAGCGTCAACACCTATTTCACGATGCCGTGTTCCAGTTGAGTACACTTTCGCCCAAGCCCTTACGCGGCACTCGCATCGCTCACTTTTATCTCGCTTTGATCCAAGTATGTTGGAACTTCTCTCCTAGGGGAGACTTGTAGAGAGCAATCCACACTTGAACTTCAACACACAAAAAAATAAAACATCACAAAGAACACATACTCATAAATTAGCACTGCTCGTTCATAGTTAGGTAGCTTATCCGATTTTTTGTTATCTAAGAGGGTGGGCGGCTGGGGGAGGCACTCGAACCCCATGCACTGAGATAGCCAACTTCAAAGAATTCAAATGTTTCCTGTAGACTCAAAAACATTTTCAGAGGGAGGATGCCCTCAGAGCTACCCCACTCCCTACTGGCAACTGCCTTCCGCCTGAACCCCCTTTTAACAAATTGTACAAACAATTTCATAGAAATAGAACTGTACAGTAACCCAGGGAAAATGATGCCTATAGTACACATCAACCAAGCAGAAGTCAAAAATAGATTTTTATTTATCACAGTGCATCTATTCATACTTCTTTGCACTGGAAGAAATAAAATGTATACAACAATGAAAAAAATAAACCACACCTATCTCTGTAATTTGATTTTCTTTTAATAACAAACATCAATGTGCAGCAAATCTTTCTCAAATTTGTCCAAAACACAAACAAATTGATGACAACTAAAATTCTCTCTGTGCACATTGATCTTCATTCAAGGCTGACTGTAATTCACAAATCAACAAGGGATCTTCTATCTTATGAAGTGTATCTGAATATTTGTTCAAAACAATGTTTCAAATGCCAGAAAATTTTTGTATTGTATTCATCTGCCACTGAGATTAAAGACACCAAATATGATAAGTTGAATTATGTACATAATTTGATTGGTTCTTACTTATGAACTAATGGAGGACAGATGCAAAAATAATATCGCCATTAACAGCATTTTGCTTTTTCATCATTTAAAACAAAAAGATCCCATATTGCTGTGGGTCTGTACAGTGATAGATCACAGGAAAGAATGTTTGACGTATGACAACAGTAGAATTGTCTCTTAACCCTTTAACTCCCAAAAGTGATTAATTTACAACTTCTCCCTTTAATATCCATACATTATCCAGCAAACAGGTAATGAGAATACTCAAACTTATCATGAAGTTTTCATCTTGATCTAACACCAAATTCTCGTAACTACTTTACAAGGAAGTGGTAGCAGCCAAAGGGGAGAATTAACAATCAGATCTTGAGAGTTAAAGGGTTAATCAATGCACACTTTTAACAACAACATGGCCAGTTCATTCTCATGTCCCATAATCCTTTTCTTGCTTAAATAATGTAGGTCCTAATGGCGTACATAGAACATTACATTATGCCAATCAATGTATTACTTGAAGATCACTGTAATAATTTCAAACCTTTGTGATCTTACATTACTCACTTGACCTTTTAAGTTCACTTTCAGTGAAAACTCAACAGCTTGGTTAAATAAAAGCATGCAAAATAATGTCATTTTTAATAAAAACAAAATCTGATTTACTAAGTCTTTTTGAGGTATCAACAAGGTCTTCTCTTGTTTGCAAGATGAATCAGGTCACAGTACAAACAATTTACTTCAAGTTCTTGAAAACTTGGGTGAAACAGAACGTTGAAATCTTAAGGTATGCATTTTATTGTAAATTATATGATTAGCTGAATTAAAGATGCATTTTGCTTTGTTCTTACTTACAATCTACTGGAGAACAGATGCATAAACAACATCACTGTTAATAACATTTTGCTTTGTTATGCTAGAAAACAAATAGATTCCATTTAGCTGTGTCTGTACAATAAAATATCACAGAAGACGTAAAAATATAAAAAAGAGCATCAGTGACACTCTCCACTGCTCATTGTGTCCTACCTTTTTGTTCTTACCCCATTTGACATCATTAATATCTATTACAGAACCGCAGCATGGCAAGTCATGTAATATATTTGTTAATCGTCTTAGTGATATAGATCACGTTGGGCGGGAAATCAGTGGCTGTCTTTCATCCCCTGTTTCAGCATTTGATGATGCACTGTTACCACCAGTGTTCCCTAATGAGGACTGTTGACTATGTTGATGTTCTTCTGCCTGGTTGTATTGCCAGTTGTACTGAAACTGGGACAATCTTCTGCTCATAATGAAGAAATGCAGAAACATGTGCAAGCTAAAGCCAAGATGTATGGGGGCTGCTGCCTGGAAAAATATTGACATGGTGCTGCTGATGTGTGCTTCAGCAAGAAGCTTTTCTACTCGGCCATTGAATTCATCAATGACAAGTGATATGAGGAGTGCAAACAGAGCCATCATGATAGTTGTGACGTAAAAGTGTTTTGCCCTCTGACGACTGCTCTCACGGTCACACCCAAAATGTGGACCCATTTTAACAAAGAAGTAAAGCTGAAAGATGATTACAATTGCATAAGCAAAGTTTTTTACTGTTGTCCAAGAGAGATACTGATAAAACTCAATGTCAGTTGTTGATGAGTATTGTGAGGCCCAAAGACCACAGTAGGAAGCTTTCATGAACCAGAAGATAAAGCCAATGGTTCCCATAAAGCACACCATGATATCAATAGCCTTAGATTCAGTCTCACGCCATTTCCTCTCTCTGTTGTTTTCAGGGAAACTTGTGTCTCCAGAGAGTAGCAAGAGACCAAAAATTATTACAACACCACAAGCTAGAATGGGGAACATGTTTGTCCACTCTCCCACAAATCCAAGATACTGTAGTCCAGTTACCAGTTGCATGGCAACCAGAATGAGGCCAATGACATATCCATAGCCAGAGGAATGCGAGATTTCCACATTAACAACCGCAGAAGCCAAAGAATCTTGCATCATTGCCTCACTAGCTTCAGGGTTAAATAATATATCTCCAATGGGTCGGTTTATGCGCACATCCATCAACTCCAAAGAATGCTCCAAAAACAACAAACAGCACAGCAGTCTGTAATCAATGAGTAAGGCATTATATGCAGATTTCACGATGGAGAACCCATTGCCAAACAGACTTAGGACAAAGTCGTTATCAGAATTTGACGTTACTAGTGAGTCGATAAAAAAAGCAAAATTGAAGACGGAGATTATCTTGAAAAGCCACGAACACGCCATACGCATATCTCCTCTTGCAACCTTGTGTCGCAGACTAAAGTAGTACACGCTTGCTTGGACAATCTTTTGCGCCAGAGCTGTGTACCTCACAGCAGCATACATTGTGTTGGGTGCTTTCCGAGCAGCTCCAATGGCGAAGAAGAGCTCTAGTATGCTGAGGGGTATCGTTATGACCCAGATGATCATTCCCAAGCTACCATGCATATAACCAACAGAGAGTCTTTCGTAGCCGTAGTCATCCAGCGGCCTGTCAGGGGAAGGATTCTCGAAAAGCATTGCACAACCTATCATCAACACTCCAATTCCGCAAGAGGCCAAGAGAGTCAAGCGATACACTGCATAAATTTCTTGTTCTTCATAGGAGCTGAGGGTTGTAATGAGGGTGAGTAACGCTCCGAGGAAAAAGACCACAAGTCCGATACGAGTTTCCACAACGTGTCGACATAGACGCCATTTGAAATATATGAAAACTATAATGCAAGCCAAGAAGAACAGAAAGGAGGAAAGAGTGGCTAGAATCACAGCTGTAGTGATAGAGACATCGAGAGTAACTGGGGCAGAAGCATCTTTTGAGCTTAAAGAGGATTCTTTACCGTTCGAAAGTGAAGAGAAATGCATCGTGTCTGGGCGAAATGGAAAATACTACAACAGGTTTGAGCAGTTCAACGTCTTCTGGACAGAACTCCGCTTAACTTTGACCTCACAGCTGCAAAATGTGATTAAAAACAAAGAATCACAAATGATCTCTCTAAAACCATAATTCAAGAGCGATAAAGCGTACCTTTAAGATGTTTTCGACTCAATACACGAAAGCGGCCGAAGGTCACAATGAGTTCAAATAACTAAGTGGACTTATAGAATCAGGTTTCTCGGAAAAAAATTGACGTAGACGCAAGCGTTACTTTCAGCATATGGGGAAAGCACCCTAGAAAGGTATGGGGTCGATTAAGGATTGCATTAAATATTTGATAAAAGGAAATCTTCAGAAAACAAAGAAGCAGTAAAAAAAATGCAGCCTTTCTTGTAGATTTCATCTGATCAACTTTTCTAACTGTAATTTTATGAAGTTTTCGCAAGAAAACCCAATCCTCAGAAGGAAATTCTAACAGCATTTCCGCCGGAAGTCCAGTTTGTCACGCAACTTTTCATTCCCAGGGTCTTCTCGGGTTTAATGAAAAATCTTGCCAGGATACTATTCCGCTTTTATACGAGTTTGTAATTATTAGGAGAAACTGTAACCTTCGAGAGGTTGTAAGTATAATGGACTTTCTTCTTGCTGAACTCGATAGAAAAAGGAAACAGATAGATCAAAATGAAGTCACATCGGTAAGTATCTTTAAATTAGAACTACAATACAAGAGAAACGTTTGGCTCGAACAGAACCAGCTCGAATAGGATTCTCCTATTCTTTATCTATGTTTGCAAGATGAATATGTCTTTATCATATCTATTCACGGTTCGTTTTCAAATTTTCTTCTCTCTTAACTTTTTAAATACTTAACCAAGAAGAAAGAAGTTGTTTGGCAAAGGAAAGACAAAGAGCAAGCTGTGCACACAGTAAAAACAGTTGTTTTCAGCAAATAATTTGAGCCTTGGAATTTGTACTGCAGGCGCACAAAAAATTATAACTACATTTACATGCACGTTTACAATCTGCATGCCGACCACCGCAGATAGATCAAGTCAAGACTGCTAGATAAATCAAGAGATTAACAAAAAATATATCACCAAATCACTTTTGGAACAAAAGAGAATTTAGACTGGTAATCATTATCACTGAAATAGGAAGTGAGTCAACTATCTTGATTTTCCCTTCTGTGCTGTGATAGTTCTTTTTGGTTGAACTTACATTTTGTACATTTGAGGCTTACTTTGACCCAATGTAATCAATTAAAAACAATGTTGACCCTTTCGCTCCCAAAAATGATCCAAAAAGAATTCCTCTTTGCAATATATGCAGGTAAACAAGCAGAAAGGTTATGTTAAGAAACAACTGAATAACTTAGTGAGAGTGCTTGATTTAACACCAAATTCTCAGAGCTAAAACATAAGTAAATATATGGTATGCAGTAAGGAGAATTGATTGTGTGATCTTGGAAGTAAAGGTTTAAATGACAGTTTGGTAAACACTTAATTAACAAGCTTTAGGGGACCTATTAATATCAGTTCTGAATGTGGCTGTGTTATGCTACTGTAGCCAACAATTTTATGCTAAGAGAGCATAAAGAAGTTGCAAATTTATCATTTATTAATTTAACAACATTGAAACATTTTCTTAGTAATAGCATTAAGTTATGCCCTTCTTAGAATTGGTCAGTGGAGGTATTTCAGTTTTTACAACATTCATATTACTGGTTGCTAATGTCAGTAATATAGGCTGCATCATGATATTATTTTTGTCCTTCACCAGAATAAAAAATACTTCAAGCGTGGGGACCTGACTGCTAAACAGGCAGAAGACTATAGAAAAAAGCAAGAGGTAAAAGCCTCCAGTACTTGATTTCTCACAAATTTTAAATGCAAATTAATTTTACGAAATGAATTTAGTCCTCTAACACTTTGTATATTTTTAATTCCAATCTAGAAAAGGCTTCAGGAAAAAGAGGTACATGATTTCTCTCTTTGAATAAGAGGTTCTATAGGATACTGCTTTCAGGGATTTCAAAATGGTTTGGAGTTGGGGTTGGACTTGGTAAAAGCAGGTGACTGTGAGGAGTTCATTAACCCTTAAACCCCCAGATCAAATTTGTAATTCTCCTTAATGTCAACCATACAATTCTTATAATGTTAGTTTAGAGAATTTAGTATTGGCTCAACTAATTATCCCCAAATTGATATTTTTTTTCATTCTCAACACTTATCTGGTTGATATTGTATTGATATTGTAAGGAGAAATTCTGTATTGGTCACTCATGGGAGTTATAGGGTTAAGGGCCAAAAGGTAATTGTTTTGACCAGCATAACTGGCGGCATGTTATTAAGAAGCTGAGGGAACTCTGGCAGCCACCAGGTTCCTCTGAAATCCCTTTGCTTTGCCAAAAGTGTTATAGCCTGGTAGGAGACAGTGTGAATTGAAGAACACAAGGAAAATTAACGATGATCATGAATTTAATGCACTTACTATGACAGTAATATTTATGTTTTTCAGGATCAATATCAGTATCTGGGCAACTGCCCACCTACCCCTCCCCTAACCCAACAACAGTCTATTGATAACAAGTTAGGGTTAATGTTGGGTTAGGGGAGGGGTAGGTGGGCAGTTGCCCAGATACTGATATTGATCCGGTTTTCATTACTGAAATATGCCTTGTGAGAGTTTTTTGTTGACCCATTTTCAGGAGAGAGCTGGTAAAAGGGCTGCAGATGATGATATATTTGCTGCCTTCAAAAGAAAAAAAGATGAAAATGAAGCAAATTCTGCTCTGATTCCAAGAGAGGAGGTCATTATCGTAATTTAGCTGCAGTAATTTAGCAGTAACCAGCAGTAATGAAATTACTCACAAATCTCTAAGAAAGTTGAAAATACTCCTATTGAAAATGTTTAATAATAGAACAGCATTTCATCAGTATGAGACACTTATATAGGAGAAAGATTCTTCTTCCTCTGATCTTCCTTGCAGTGATTGGATTTATCCATATTCACCTGTAAGAAATGTTTGTGGCAGCTAGAAGACTTTTTTTATTGTTCTCCTTTCTAAAGGTGATTCGCAGATTGAGAGAAAGGGCAGAACCAATTAGATTGTTTGCTGAGAGTGATGAGGAAGCTTGTCAAAGATTGAGGTTTGTAGTTATAAGGCTCCAAGCTGTGACTAGTTAGGTAGCTTTGGTGACCATGACAAAAAAAGGAGGCTAAATTTGTAACCTGTTTTGCATGGTTTGTCTAACTTAGTTTTAAGGTTTGAAGTCAAAGTGAGGTACTAAACATTTTGACAGGATTATGTGTAGATATGTTCCACTGTTTTCTTCCATAAAACTTTCCTTACTTGCCTGAGCTTTTTTTTTCCTCATTGGCTGACTTACTTCTCTAAAAAAAGTCAAGCTAGGAGTGCCAAGTCAGTGTCTCTCCCTGTGATTAGCTTTTACAGGATTGCATGCAAAACACTGATAGTGAAAAATGTATTAATTTTTTAATCAACAGGAGAATTGAGATGCTTGCTCCAGAAATTAATAAGGTATTGAATTGAAATTCAATCCAAATTTTTTTGTTTTAAATTCAATTTATACAGCCTGTTGATGATTAACACAATGTTGTATACAGATAAGAGAACAACAGAGATAAAAGAGGGAATTACTGAAAGAATTAATAATGCTTGAAGATTCACAACATTTTGTTTAATCCTACAGAAACATAAATATCTACTTTTAACACTGAAAAGTTGCGCAGAGAAAAGTTTACTGCATACCATGCAAAAATTCCAAAGAGGATCCTTTTGTACATTTATTCAGTTTTTCTTTCTTTTTTTTTTTTGTTTTTTTGTTTTTTTTTTTTTTTTTTTTTTTTTTTTTTTTTTTTTTTTGTTTTTTTTTTTTTTTGTTTTTTGTTTTGTTTTGCACCAGGGTTTGAGGAATGACTTCAAAGCAGCCATGGAAAGAGTGGATCAGGAATATTTAGCAGAGTTAATTAAACAGCAGGTATGCTCTCATCAAACAAAAAGTGACAAAAAAGTCAATAAATGATCTTTATTGAATACATGGGTAAAAATTTTGAGAAATGTATGCCAGATAGTGTCAAACACAGCAGCCTAATAGTTAGTGTGCTAGACTTCGGTTCAAGAGGTCAGAATTAAAAAAAAAATAGACTTTAATGGCTATCACAATTACTGATGGACTAAGTAGTTTAAATTCTGGGCCAGAAAAGAGGGAGAAACAAATATTTCAGATAAACATAAAGTGCTTGAAAATCCCAACTGGCAGGAGACAAAACAGTTGGCTTATTTACACAGCACAGCTGAGTAGTTGAAACAGGGGTTATTGAGAACAAATCTAGTGAGTGGTAGGGTGGAGGACTTGAATCCAGGACCACCAGATTATAAGTCCAGCGCCCTAGCCACTCGGCCATTCTGAACTCTGTGAGTGTGAGACCTGGCCGGGTCATTGTGTTAAGTTCTTGGGCAAAACACTGACAGTGCCTCTCTCCATCCAGGAGTATAAATGGGTACTGGTGAATTGTCAGGGAGGCCTGATGAAATGCTGGGGGGTAACCTTGTGATGAACTGGCATCTCATCTAGGGAAGGAGGGGGTAAAAATGTTTTGTCACTTGATGCTAAGGAAACCAGGATAAGCAGTGACTAGATGAGCACTTGGCTCAAAACAGACTTTTGTGGAAGATAGTAAGGAGAATAAGGCAATTAATCAGAAGGATGTTTTTGTAGGGTGGTGGTGAACAACAAAGTTCAGAAAGTGAAGAATCGTCACAAGTTGAAGAAGATGGAACAACCTTGGAGGATATCAAGGTAAATTTATCTTTGGTTAGCTTTCTACTTTTGAATATATTTTGCAATTAAAAAGATATTTTTAATGCTAATTTTTGTGTATTTTTTAAACTATATGCACAATATATTCTCTATTTTTTTTGAAGGAACTGGCCATAAATATGGGTAAAGGTAATGAAAATTTGGATCAAGATGTCATCTTAAAGTTTATTCAGGTGAACTGCAGATTGTACTTTCACAGAAAATTGTTAATTATGCAGTATTAAAGTATAAATTGTCACTTGGATAAAGGCATTAATGAAAAAAAAAAAAAAAACAAGCATGCAGCAGATGACCCACAGCTGAGCATGTCATTGATGCTCTTAACACAATTTGACGTCATCTGTGTCTATTACTGTACAAATCCACAGCAAAATAGATTCTGTTTGTCATTAGATGTCTGTTTGTTTTGTTTTCCTTTTAGTTCCTCCTTGGTTTATGGGCTAAGGATTGCAAGACAAGATCTGATGATAGCAAAAGAAGCCTTGAGGTAGCACACTGCACTAAAATTGTTTAAAAAAAACCTTTAGCTAGAGCTAGAGCATTTTTCATGATTCACTACAGAATTAGAAATTGAAATTACTTTATACTAACTGAAGATCTACAGTGTATGAATCCATCTCTTTTTTCCTTTGGAACCAAAATGAAATGTTTACAACAGATCAGTATGATTTTAACATCACAGCAAAATTGACTAACTGTTTACATGAACTTGATTGACAAGAACTCTTCACTAGACTATGATGGTAACTTCTGTTCAGGCTTTTGAAGCATTAGTCAGTACTACTGATAGCAGTCCCTCTTTGGACTACCCTCACGCAGACAATCAGAAGGCTCAATCAAATATCAGTATCAGCCCATGCAGTCTCCAGGTGTTAACGCACATGTGTAGTCTTCAGGTCACCCCTGTGCTGTGGCTTGCAAATAGCCAACTTGTCTGCCTCCTAGCCTTTGGTATTTTAAACACAAGTGGATTCTTTCCAGTTGTGTTTATCTGTGTCAAAAGCATGTTTAGGTGCTGAATATATTGACCTAGTTATTTGTTTTTTTACTTTATTTATTTTGTTTGCAAATAGGCAAAATTGGCAGGTGCTACTCAAAGACAGACAGAATCATATCTGAAGCCATTGTTGAGAAAACTTAAAAATAAGGTAAACAAAAAACTTGAAGAACTGTGCTTTTTTAACAATTATCATGGCTTTTCAAAGTCATCAACAATAAGAGTTCTATAATAATCAGAGTGATAACTTTAAATTCAAAAATGATATAGATTTTCTCCATATGGAAATTTCTGCTATAAAAAAAAAGATGTTGAACTCATTAAATGTCATCCAAAAACCTCAGAGACTTGCACTTGTTGATGTTGGATTTGTTTGTTGTTTCCATACAGAAAACACCTCAAGATATTCTTGGTGCATTAACAACCATCATAATGAATCTTTTAGAAAGAGAATATGTCAAGGTATGAAGTCAATTCAATGATGTTAGTTACTTTGATTTTACTTCAATCTTTCATTGATTTTATTCATTGTTTTGATTTGTTTCCAAAAAAAAAAAATTCCATCTAGAGACTATACTCCAATTCAACCCTTGGACCCCTGAGAGTGACCAGCTTCTAATTTCTCCTTACAATTGAATCCTGAATCACACTTTAAAGTCACAAGAAGAGAGGAAATGATCACCAACTAAAGAAGCTCTTGATTGTTAAACAAATTCTCCTTGTCAGCACATCAGGAAATGTACAGAGAGCAGAGTGGAGAATATGCATACTGATGCTAGGGTGGAAAGAGTTAAAAGATATTTAAGACAACTTTTAGTAGGACTTTCATAAGAAATTTTTGTTGCTAATGAAGGATATTTTAAAGGGAAGCTTATTTTGATAAGCATCACTATATTTTATCCTACAGGCCAATGACTCATATCTTCAGATGGCAATAGGAAATGCACCTTGGCCTATTGGTGTAACTATGGTGGGAATCCATGCACGAACAGGAAGAGAAAAAATTTTTGCCCAGAATGTGGCTCGTATCCCTTTTACCAGTTTACTGGTTTGATGTTTGCCAATTTACAGGAGGATTTCCACTGAATTTTAAAGCTCAAGTACAACGATCACAATTCTCTTAAACTTTCAACTCTCATAGGTGGACAAGACAGAATTTCTCCTTACAATGTCAGTACAATATCAGGCAGACAACTGATGGGAATAATGAAAAATATCAATTAGGGGATCATAAGTTGATCAAATACCAAATTCTCTGAACTGACACCACAAAAATTGTAAGGCAAAAATTGAGGAGAATTACTCATAAGATCTTGGAGGTGAAGGGGTTAACAGTCACTTCTACCCAAATGATGTAGCCCATCAAGTTTCCATTTATTGCTATGTTCCCTTAACTTTTGTTTTATCAGATGTTCTCAATGATGAAACTCAAAGGAAGTACATTCAGGTAAAGATTAAGATGGAAAATAATGATGAAAAATAGTTATCTAATGAAATCAATAAGATGTGTCTTAAAATGTCGTAAATGTGTTGCCGTGAACCAGTTTTGTTCTTTCTCAGGGACTAAAACGTCTGATGACCTTTTGCCAAAAGAAGTTTCCTGCAGATCCATCAAAGTCTGTGGAATACAATGCTGTAAAGTGATAATAGATGAAAGGATTATCAACAAAAATACTACCAAACTGCAAGCACAAAAGAACATTTATTATTATTATTTTTTCACACTTGCTTTACACAAGAACTAAGTTTTAACCCTCAATGTGGTAATGTTTGAATGTAAAGAACCTTTATGTAAATTTCTCATAAATAGTGTTATTGAAAGACATTTAATTATATTGCATACATAATGAGTGACGCAACAGACTTGAAAAGGTCAGGGAAGAAAGGCAACTTCATCATGAAGAAGAGAAAACTTCAGTGAAGACCACAGAAAAACCCAGATAAGCTGTTAAACACTCATTTTTTAAATCTCTTTCATTCTTAGGGCTGTAAATTATATATATAGAATGTTCACAGACTTCTGTTAAGTGCACATATCATCTCTGTAGAGGTTGGCAAAGGGTCCAAAGGCATACTTAAGCCCCCAATAAGGATGTTATGTATAAATTTCCTAAAGGGGCAAGGAAAAGTGAGATTTGAAGTCTTCCCTTGCAAATTTCTGTGGCATGAAGTATTGTTTACGGTACACAATTGCATGCATTTTCCTAAAAATCTTGCATGAAACTGGACTTCTCTCCCCACCCCCTCCCCCTCCTTTGCTACCCTCTCTGTACAAACCATGCTGTAAGGTAAGTAAATTTCTTTTCTCAAGAATAAAAAATTTTAAGTATTGGTCACTTGTTTCTTTGAATACATTATTTAAATTCAGTTGGGAAGACCATGGACCATGGTTACTTATTTTGATTATCAGTTTGTGCTATCTATATGTAAACTTCAAGCTTGCAGTGACCATCATATGATCTGAAGGAAACATTTCTTCTGCAATCCTTCCATTAACAGTTTCCAAGGTGTCTTGTAGCAAAGTCATTGTGATGAAGTAAAGAGTGGCCATTAAACAAACCACAACTATTCCTAGTGTTCTATTCGACAACAAAAACAAGACCCTGGCATGCGCTCTTCTCATCTTTGCAAAACATCTTTGTATCAACATTTTTATGAGAATGTACAGGAAAAATACCAAAGTTGTGGAATATAACACGAAAAGTAAGATAAAATTGTTAAAGTGCTCAGCATCGCATTCAAAGCAGAAGGGCAACTCGCAGTTGTTTGTATCTCCTCCTTTAACACAAACACCACACCGACATGATCCATGAGGGCCACAGTCCTGATGACAAGTGTATTTAAAACGTGGACCATAAGCAGTTTCTTTGGCCATGAGGTATGCTTTCTTAAGCCTTTGCCATTTATTCTGCAAGCTGTACTTTTGTTGGTAGATTTTTCCATCTCCGTGAATCTCAGAAGACACAACTTGAAGTCCAGTTAAAGAAACAAGGATCCTGTCTGGCCGACTAATGAGTCCGGGCTCTGGCTGGAAAGAAAATAAGCTTATCTTTAGCTTGTGCCCTTAGCAAGAGCTTTGAGATCAGTGTTAAGAAACCAAAACAACATGATACTATTGACCCTTTAACTCCCATGAATGACCAAGACAGAATTTCTCCTTACAATATCAACACAAAATCAAGGAGACAAGTTATGAGAATTAAGAAAAATATCAATTAGGGGATTGTGAGTTGATCCAATCCCAAATTCTCCAAACTAACATCACATCACATCACTGTATGGCAGACAGTAAGGAGAATTACTAATGAGATATTGGGAGTTAAAGGGTTAAGTCAGATAATGTTCAGACAAAATAAACCAATGGAAAATTTTTCTGCAAAATGCTCATGGAATGGATAGGGCACAAGACAAAGTGACGTTGGTAAAGAAGGTATTGGCTTTTTGTTTTTCAACTTAACAGCAAGCATAGGAGGCTAAGCAGCAAACCAAATCCTGTCAGCAATCTGCGTATCAAGCTGTCTGTTTTGGCAGCACAACTGAAAGAGGGGATGAAAGTTTGTATAGGTGCTAACATGATTTCGAATAAAATTTGGTGTTAATAAGCACTAGTCTTTTTCAAAGACAACAAAATTGCACAAGCCTGTAGGGCAAGTGCAATTTGTAATCTGAAAAATTTTCAAGTGCTCATTACACCAAATTGCAACAGGAATCATGATATTACTCGTTAATAATGTAGATGGAAAAACATCACTGGAAGTTAAGACAGACAAAAGTTTTGAAAGCAAGGGCGCGCTATTTGTAATTTACATTAGTGTAACAACTTTGCATTCAGCCAATCAGAAGCAATTTTTTTTTTCATGTACATTACTAAATGCTAAAAAAAAAGGATTAGATCATTTATACAAGAGCATGGCAGAAAAACCTTTCTACAACACACCATATTGCTGAAGGTATATCCCTTGCTGTTCCCATTTGCTGTCACCCAGGCATCCACAAAGCCATATCCTTGGTTTAATCCCTGTGGATCCAAATGACTGGATGCGTGGCATGGGCCTTGCTTGTCAAAGGACCCTTTCATTATTCCATTTACAGGCCAATGGAAATCATTGTATGCATTGAAGTCACCCAGTAAAACAGAGCGTTCACTTCCCATTGATGCAATATAGTTAATGACATCCACTGCATTTTGGCATTGCTGAGCTTTATCGTAAGATAAGTGAAGCACTGTTATATCCAGCTCTTCACCATCAATATCAACTTGGGCATGAAGTATAGCTCTCTTGTTGCGATCAACACCACCTTTCCCAATAGTAAGGTTCACAACGTGACTTAGTATTATGGGATGTTTACTGAGTAGTCCCAGGCCTTCCTGTTCCCACCCTGGCGGGCCTTGTTGACCAGCTGGGTGTGTAACCACGGCAACAGGGTGATAAACTAGGTGTTTGTACCGTGGAATTAACTCTTGAAGCTCAGTTAACTGGTTTCTTTCATCCTTAGCATCAGCCCTCACTTCTTGGAAACCAATCACATCTGGGTTAATTTTATTTATCTGGAATAATAAATTGCAAACCATAAAACAAAAATAAAAATAAATACCAACTTGAGTGCCCTTGACAGAATAGCAGTATGTCACAATGTGAAAACAAAACTAACAAATCCAACATGGTTATTTGAGTGAAAGTACCAACCCAAACTAGCTTTCAAGTTGCTGTCAATATAAAACAAATTTCAACCCTTCCCAACATGTGGACACGGGCATTGACACGGGTTAACTGACAGGTAGATTTGACCGGGCTCAGCTACCTACTAACACCAACAAACATTTTATAAAGATTGAAAAAGAACAAGAATCTCGCGATCTTTGATTTTTCAACATCAAGAATCTCTAATATTTATGAATTTCGAAAACTTTCGTCAATTTAACAACGTTAAATTTGATTAAATTTGTTGTAAAATTTGTTAAATATAAAAATCGATTAAAATAGTTCTCTTTTGATTTGTTTCTCTTTTTTAAATTGAACGTAGCCAGAAAAATAGTCACCTAACCTTTCAAATGACTATTTTCGCTGGGATTATAAGAATAGCCTTACCAAAAAAAAAAATAAACAAAACAGCGGGAAACACATAAATATGTGAAGGTTGAATGTTCATGTCAAGAGACGGATATGAAATTATATCAAAAAACGTGAAAAATTACCATTTCCGCAATGAAGTATTTTCTTGTTTCCCACTGGAACATAACATTCCAAATGTTGTAGTTTGCAACTTTTACAATTTTGTATGCTGAAACGCGGCAGTAAATCGAGAAATAGTCAGAGAAAAATATCAGAAATATACATATTCGAACCGCCATCATTTACATGGGTCAAGAACCTCTGTCGGCCTGGGAACGAGTTTCTCAAAACCCCTTCGCTGGCACGTTTGTAGCCAGCGGTCTATTAATAATACAAAATAACTGGATTGAAGTGTCTCTTCCGGAAGATTATTGACTTTTACCAAAGAGGTTCAGTTCTATGCATTTGCATGGATTCTGCTGATGCGATAGAAAACTGCTGTTTATTACTTCTTTGGATCATTTCCAAATATATATATTTCCTAACAATTTGTACTTTTATGATAAACATTTATGTTGACAGATATCAGTAAATAATGTGGTAAAACTTTACCAGAAGAGTATTGATTTTCACAAGTAAGTTATCTTAAGAACTTGCTAAATATTACAGTAACCTTAACACTAACTTCAGATTAATGTCAGAATTTGGGCAACAGCATACCTGCCCCTCCCCCAACCCAATGTTAACCCTAACTTGTCATCAATTGACTATGGTTGGGCTTAGGGAGGGATAGGTAGGTAGGGTGTGCAGTTGCTTAGATACCAAAATTGATCTCTAACTTTGAGGGGTGATTTAAATGAAATTTCCCCTCCAAACAATTTAATTATAATTATACAATGATCACCAAACAGGAGATTAGAAAAGATTCTCAGAAGTATTTACAAGAAAATATATATTAGCTAGAAAAAAGAATTTAAATTGACAGTGAGCTACAAGTTCAATGCTTCCACCCTGCTGCATGACCATCCTCCATTTGAGGCTCAAGAAATCCACGGAAAACTTTTCCATCATGACTCCATCTTGCGCCGTAACCTTCAGTGCACCTCACTTCAATAACTTTGAGCTCATGTGGCAGCAGGTGGATATTAATCCATGAAGCATCTTCTAGTATACGCATTACAACTGTAATAGCATGTTCGTTCTTAACTTGTTCACTACCCGCACAGGCACCCCACCATTCACTGGAATCCCTGTGACAGTGTTTAGACAAGGCCCTTGCACCAACTGTCAAATTGGCATTTGGTTTGTGTTTCTCGTTGAAGGATTCTATTAGAACTTTAACAGGAGGAGGAAAAATATCAACACTTCCTTGCGTGTGGCGAATATTAAGCAGATCAAGCAATCCTCTAACGCCAAGAATTTTTATGATAGAAGAAAACTGAAGATGTTTTTCTTCATCAGAAATCTCTGTCCAAGAATCGTTAAGGGAGGCCAGTACCAGCGAAACTTTTTCATAAATTCCTTTTCTTTCTTGAACAAAATTTTCCTCCGAAAGTAATCCACAAGCTTCGCTTTTTACAGGAAAATTCCCAGTGGACAGCCACTGATGTAACTTTTTTGAAATTTCCTTATAGAGGGGATATCTCGGGTAATTTCCTCTTTTGGTAGGTAAGGTAGAGATAGTCTCTTCAGAACGTAGCAAGGTTTCGCATTGTGTTTTGGACAGTATTCCAGACTCCCGAACAATCCACTCTTCCAAGATTTGCTTTACGATTATAACAACATTACGAACAGAAACCATTCTTGGTGCTGGTAGACAAATCATGTGTATCTACACCATGGAACGAATAGAAAATTCTTTCCCAGACTCTCGCAGGTGCAGTATTCTGTTAGTTTCAAGATGGCAACCGACGGTGAGTCAGAGGGGACTTAAACGCAAAAACACTTTTCCATTTTGTGTTGTCAACATAAAGTTGATTGTGTGTGTTTTCTACTTTAAGATGATATCATTCGGAAGAGGCTGTTGATTGATGGAGAAGGTGCGGGTGATGATCGCAGAATTACCGCGCTTTTGAAGACATTTCTGAAATGGTGTAATTCTACTGGCGAGGAGGAAGACAAGTTAGTACTGTTTCATATTTCTTGATCCAAGGATTTCCTTTTTTTACTTTAGATTTATATGTGCGATTTTTAGGAAAGCTTATTTCTAGAATGCGTGGCTACATAAGATTTGTCTCTGTAAGGTCGCGGTCAGCTGAAGAGTTGTTTACGAATACACTATTTGTATATTATGGTGTTAATGAAGTCTTCATACTGTGGACTGTGTACCTTATAGGTAAGCGACTCACTGTTTGATTTGGACTTTATGGGTCATTTTTTGACTTTTCAGGACTGTGACTAACGGCTCAATGAAACTGTATTAAGTAAGATTAGTTTAATTTCAAGCTATGGCATAGTTTTCGACTTTCTCAGTGTATTGACCATTTAATAGGGACCTTAAGCAGTCAGGACAGCGATGTCAAAGAAGATGTAAATCAAAAAACGTAGTTATAGTCTAAGGAAGAATTTTGCAAATGGCTAGATGTTCTTACTGTCTCTTATGGCACCACACCTCAGCTTCAGCATAATGTACATGAGCAGAGTTTAATTCCAAATTTTAAACTCAAATAATTTGTTGTCAGGGTCTTGGTTCTCTGATCACACAAATATTTGGGATTTCATGTTGTTGTTTTGCAGAGAATGGTTAAGACATGTACAAAGTTTTAAAGCACATTTGCTGAGTTATTTTTCTGCTCATGAGATCTTTTGTTTTGCAAAATCCTCAATACTATTGCCATCATGGTTTGCCTAACATCCTTAATAACATTGATGTAAGTAGCTCTTCCAGTTAAAGTTGAGCCTGGTTTTAACCAGCAATGCAAGCATGAGCACAAGTATAAAGTAATTATGCCAAATGAAAATGAACTTGACAAGCACAAGTATTATCACAAGAAAAAAGAAAAAAATTTCCATCCTTGTGCTTGTGTTTGTGTTTATGCATGTGTTGAGGCTGTTTTCATGGTGAAATAAGAGCTGTTAAGCTGTTGGGTTTGCATTTACATTTGTGCTTGTGTCACTAGTGAAAAACAGGCTATACATTACATGGCTTTTCATTTTGTTTGTTGTTTTTCCTTTTCCAGTGATGCCACATATCAGAAAATGCTTATTCAACTGGCTCAGTGTGAATTTGCTATTGGTAAAACACAGACTGTCTATGAAATGAATGAGCTGGAAACTGAAAACTATGAGAAGATTTATAGTGAAATAGGTAAGAGTAATTTTTGCTTGTAACTTAAATTGTAAATTTTAAATGTAAAAAATTATTGCTCAATGAATAGATCTTTACAGGTTGCAGCAATTTGAGTCATTGCAGGAAAAGAATTTTGAAAAAACTACTTATTGTCAACCATACAATTCTTATGTTGGTTCAGAGAATTTAGTATTGGATCAATTGGTTACCCCATATTGATATTTTTCTTTATTCTCATCACTTATCTGGTTGATATTGTAAGGAGAAATTCTGTCTTGGTGCACACTCATTTGAGTTAAAGGGTTAAATCAAGAGATGCATCTTTGAAGAAGTTGAAATGTTGATACTTACATGAAATGATTTGTGGTGTTACTTCCCATGAGTTACATGGTTAACATTTTGCTTTAAAAAACAGAGCAGAGTATTTCACATGCCTATGAGGAAATTGCATCCTGCAAGACTGAGCTGCAGAAAGCAAAGAGGATACGAAGAAACAGACAAGGTACAGGAACATTGTAAACAATACATGTTACTTGTACTTAAACAGAAATTATGTAAGGCCATTTTGATTACTGTGGTGCTTCATTTAGTCTCAATTCTGCTTTCCTCCTGTAAACTTTGAAATTCTAAACAGAAAACTCCATAGAGAAACTTAACTTTTTTTTCATCAATTGCCAAATTCTATCATACCAACTCCACTCCCATCTTCCCATATTCGTTGTGAGAGACTTGGAATTTCTTGGGTCCAGGCTTGAGACAAAAAGAGTAGCATCTTTTGAATACCAACTTTTATGTTTATTTAGAATATGATGCACTTGCTAAGGTTATCACCCAACATCCAGAGAGGCAAGAAACTCTCAAGTAAGTGTGGGATATTTTTGTATTTATTATATTCCTTCTTAAATGATTCAACAACCTTTTGTTTTTTAGCAAGTATGCGCAAGTCATTTGTATTAACCTAACTGGCAAGTTTTTCCAGAGATATTTATTGAAGAAGTAGTGTATTTTTTTATTGCATTGGATCTAACTGTTCAGTTGAATTTTCTCTTTGCAGACAAATTGAAGAACTAGATAAAGAACTCAATTCTCTGACAAGCACTAAAGAAAGTCTTTTATCCAAGGTAGGTGAATCAAATTAGCAAATTTCTTCAAAGTGCTCTTGTCAGAATTGTGTGGACAGAGAGATAGAAACGTGAAAGAATTGAAACACGTAAGAGCACTGTAGACTACAGAGGAAAAAACAAGGGAAGGATAAAAAAAATATTCTTTTTTATTGACCCCATCTGCAGACCTTCTCAAAGTTTCCCTTAAAATATTAAGTAACAAGGGATACTGCCTCTCCCATGGATGGGAAAGTAAGTAAAACACATCATCCCTTTCTTCACAATTTTAAGAGCATTTCATGGCATGGTAACCATGTGCATGTTGATGTGTGAGGAGTTTTGAGGCATGATGGTATAAGACTTGATAGATCCTAAAGAACTTTATGAGCCAGAAATTCTGTTTGTTGTCAGAGAAAGTCAAGTACAAATAAGTAGTTTGAAAATATCAATTGTATAATTATGTTATTGGATATTTCCTTCCTTTTTTCCAGCTTGAACTGCGACAGAAACAGTTCCATCTTCTCATCAACACAATTCACGAGTTACAACGGATGCTAGAAGGTGAGACTTCTCTACGTAACTCTTCACACTCCAACATCAGCTTGTATATTCTCTATACTGTTTTCCATACATTTCCAAAGGTGCTGACAAGGAGAATTTCTTATCCAATCAAGGTTTTCTTTTGTTAGTGATCGTTTTCATTATTCTCATGACTTTAATGTGTGATTCAGGGGGGGTATGGTGAGGAGAGATTGGACATTAGTCACTATCAGGGGTCAAAAGTGTAAATGCAGTGGAATATAAATCACAAATTATTTTTGCACTGACAAGCAGGATTCGCAAATTTAGTCTATCAAATTTGTCAGTATTGAATGAAACAGTATTAGACCTGAGCAATCGTGGCCAACTCTAAAACATTTTTCCAAGGGGGTGGACCTCACATATAATTATATGAATAGATGGCGGACTGTCATATGAACAGATGTTTTTGACTGTGAAGGAAAAATAGTAAAAATATCATCACTTCACTGGTGTATTTACAACCAACATGATGACCATCTCCCAGTTGGCTTGTCAGCTCAGTTGGTAAAGCACTGCCTAGGTATCGCAGAGGCCATGGGTTCAAATCCCATACCGGCCAGAATTTTTTTCAAGATTTATTTTTGCTACTGCTTAATTATTGTTTGTTACTGCAAAAATAGCTCTCATATTCACAGATGTTTTTGTATTGTCAATCCTGGTGTTAAGTTCCTTCTCTTCTGAGATCTAAGGATCAGGATTAATGCACCAAGATGTTCTCTCTTTGTAATGCTTAACTCAATATTCATCATCCATTGTGTCTCTACAGAAGACAAAACTGATACAGATGAACCTTCCTCTACCACTGAAGCTTCTGCAATGGACACCAGCTAATTTCTGTTGATTTATGTCTAGCCTGTGTAGCTGGTAGATTTGTATCAGTTTAGGGGATGAGCAACTATACAGACTAATTTATGTTGAATGCTTTTTGTACATAATGCTTAATAAACCATTAAAGAAAAGGGAAATGTAAGTTTGTGGCAATTTTTAGTTTTGCGATTTAGTGACCTCCAAAACTACCAGTCACACAACTCTTTTTATAAGTGTCACGCGTCACTTATGGCGTGACATTAGTAAAAAAGAGTGTGACATGGTCACAGTATTATTGCAACCTTATCAAAGAATGCAGAAGTGTCGGGAGCAGAGGGAATTTAGGGGAAAGAAAGTAACAGATTCTCTTTAAAGACGGAGACAAGTATTGGTTATTTGCACTTTCTCCGGTTGTTTTTTCGTAAATATTTCTTCATTTTAGAGAAGATTGATTTACGAGGGCACCACAAGCGATGGCTAGCCCTCAAGACAAAAATTCAAGGCGAGTCCCTCTACTTGATCACGAGAAACACGGGTCTTTAGCTCCCCGTAACCCAGCACGTATGCCGGGCATCGCCTGTACCATTCAAACTAACATGTGTTTTCACAATTAAATATAACTTACGAAACCCCCACAATTATGGGAACTTTTACTGTACGCATGCGCATTTCATTGGTTCCTCAATTTGAGAGTGGACGGTCTTCAGTTCCTTGAACCATAACCTTTGATCCGTTTGCCAAGCGTTCCTTACAAACGATTCCTGTACGATCTTTCCGAACGTTTTAATGGGTTTTGCCAAGAGAATATGGACGGTCCATAATTTCTTGTTCCTACTTATTATAATATTGCAGCATCTCAAGAGGATATTTAGTCGGTAGTAGCGTTTTAGAGGCTTTTTCTCTACAATATTCAGCAGCAAGTCAAACTGAATCAAACTTCTTTATTCATCAGTATAACTAATGTAAATTACTATCAGAATTTTTTCCACGAGTTTGGAAGAAGAATGCAGACACCACCAGCCCCTCTCCCGACCCCTCCTTCCCCACCCCCCTTCATTTTTTCAACAGCATAATTAAGCGTTTTGAGACCTTAGAATGCAAATTTACACTAACCTCGCACACGCAGTTCATTCGCAAGTCTGAATTTTCACGTGTGGATCTTTCCAATCATTTGCATTTACGGTTCCTCGTGGTCTGAACTGTTACGCTTTTCAGTGAAAACGTCGTAAAGGAAAAAAATTCTGACTTTAAGCATGGCTGGAAACTTGTGAGGAATGGTCTGTGCTTGAAGACTCGACAATGAATGACAGCTCCCCAGAAAGTCTTCTGCTGTAGTACACAAGGTAAGAGTTGAGTTCAACTTGAAAATTGTCGTCGACCTTTCAAATGAGAAAATTCTGAACAGTGCTTGTGTTTTGAACTAGGTCGTTGCAAAAAATACTTCACTCGGGTCTCCGTGGGGGAGTTGATAAATGAAATTATCACAGAACCGATAAAGGGCAATTTTATCGATAAACTGCATTGTAGTCTATCCAAACCATGTAGAGATTGGTGCACCATGATTCTGTTCACCTGTAAATAATCTTTCTACTGTAAAACATGTAAAGATAAATCAGGACTAGTTCAAGCTGAAAAGGCGTTTGATTCATCGAAGATAAATGTGGTTGCATGGCAGAAAACTTTCGCACTGTTTTACTGTATAAGGCTAAGTCTATCCGAATTCAGATTATAACCCAAACTGCATGTGAACTAGAATAAACGAGATTGTTGGTTTGGTCCTTTTTAGATAACGAGCTTTGAGGAAAATTACCAAATAAAGCATAGGAGTGGATGGGAAGAAAACGAAAACAAAGAATTAAGCTCGGGTAAGTAACAGAATTACGATTGCTATAAACAGGCTTAGAATGTGTGTATGTGGCCGCTGTTCTCAAGATTCGAGATGATGCATGCACAAAATCTATGTTGGTTAGTTAGGCTAAGAATGTCTACCTACGTACCATGCTGGCCTGTAGAGGCGGTCGAAGGTTAAAACCAAAAAGTAGAATGCTTTCAGATTTTTTCGTCTTAGGAGAATCAAAAACACGGATACTATTTTGATCAAAAGAAATAAATTTTTAAAGAGGCGTTTCGAAACTTCCCCTGAAATATAACTTCCCCTTCCCCAGGCAAGTTATTTTACGGCAAGTAGTTCGTATTTAAGCCAAAACTCAATCATCAATCAAAACCAAGTTAAAACTTTACGAACTCGTTTATCAACCAAAAATGCGTTCTTGAGAAACTTCCTACCAATTTTAACTGTGGAAACAAATCTTAAATAGGCTTTCGGACTTTTTGTGTTAGAAGAAAGAATAAACGATTCAAGGAAAACAATATGCAAATTTGAATTAGATGACATTTTGTTATGTAACCTCGTCATTCACAAAGAATGATCGGAATGTAAACAAACTTTGTAGTACACTTCAAAAGAAACTAGACCCTGTGAGCAGGGGTAACTGGGATACCTGGATGGTACTGGATCCTTGGAATCAAGTGTAGTGATACTACGGGAGTCGGACTAGTATGCTGAAATAGTGAGCTCAAGTCTATTTCAAAACATAGGCATGCTATGCATGCAAGAGTTATTTTTTGTAGGGTGGGTGGATTACTTGAAACATTGTAAGTGGTCTACATTCTTACAAAAGGAAAGAAGAGTATTAACGTGGAAAAGAACGAAAATGTCGAATTACCTCACACACAGTTATCTTACAGCTTACCGAGCGTCACGCAATCGCTTTTCCGCGATCAGCCTTCACGATTATTTGCACTATTGTGGAAAATTCCTGGCCCATTTCTTGATGAAAATCGATCATAATATAATTTCAAGCCTTCAATATAGTCTTCTTACTTTGCACGCGAGTTGGTTGGTGTGATGTCTGTACAGATTTTACCGACGTAATAAAATTAGATGACGCGAATAACAGTGATGGTAAAGCAAGCTTAAAACGGCAGAAATCGCCAGAAACTACAACGGATACACAGGGTGTGCGTAAGTTTTATTGATTTTACGAGAAAAATGTTCATATTTCGAAATATTTATCGTTGTAAATCGACCATATTTCGTTCCCTATACTATTCCTTATAACGTGTTCAAATTTTCAACGGTTCCTCTCGTAACTTAACACCGAGTCACACAACGCGTGACGCGTTCATGAATTAATCGTTGGCTTTTTCTCTAGGCGTGAGCTTGGGCCGCCTGCGACAAGACAATTGCGTAAACAATACTTAACATAATGCATTATACACAAAAAACACAGGAATTGGATCATGCATTTATTAAAAAGAATATCCATACAACTACAATGAAAACAAACATAAGATTCACCTATAAGCAAAAATCTCGTGGTTCGTCATGTGACCCGGCCCTGTCCGTGCATGACCACGCCAATCATCATCAAGATATCACGCGTGATCAGCATGTGAACACCTAATTGGATCACAGTTAGTTGTCACGGTGTTGAGGGCCCAATGACCACTGGGTACTATTGCGCAATTTTTCCATTTTGTGGCGGAGGAAAACAAAAGACGACAGAAAACAAAGGCATTTTATGACTGGGCTACCACAGGTATCCCAGTAAATATTGGCGCCAGAAGCAGTTTTATGTTGCGAAGTTTGCGATTTTACATTGTGGTTCGATCGAATACTGTGGTGTAGAAGAGGGTGAATCTTTGTAGAGTCATGGCGAAATCACGTAAACCCTCTCGTGATATTACAGCAGAGAAGGAAGCTGGTGTAGTGTGACCTTCAAGAATGTCCTAGAAGTAGCTGTGTCATGCTGAGTCATCCCTGAATCTATATATAAATAGAATCTATTGTAATGTTACGGAACGTTTTAGATCCTCAACCGTACCTATAAAAGCCGAGCATGTAACTAGATGTAGCGAGTAGTTTAGTTGCTGGTATAGCCCGTCAGATATCAATAAAGGTGTATGCTGCAAAATACAAGACGTCCACACTTCAGCTGGTACAGTGAAATCTGGTTTTGCAGTCGATAATAAGAAAAAGAAAGTGAGTAGAAAGGAAAGTCATTCAATGTACATCTACAAGGTGTTGAAGAAAGTTCATCCAGATACTGGAGTTACAACCAAATCCATTGCAAGAGACCAGCCAAGTGGAACTACGAAGATGAAACGTAATTCTGGGACTGGGACTGAATGTGCTAATACTCCAGTTCTATACGTTTTCGTTCTTTAGGTCACAACAACCACATTCGCCGCATCATTTTTTATGAAAACTGTTGCTGGATTGACCATTTTGATTCATATGAGGGGGGATTCGTTTAGGATGGGTTGCTTTAAGGTGCTTTCGATAAACAATTGATTTGAGGTTAATAACTGATCAAAGTTATTCGTATCTGTCTTAATGGGCAATGACTATAGATACAAAAGTAAATGCAAAAATTATTTAATGCTATAAAAACTTGTCCAAGTTATTGTAACAATACATTAAATACTGTAAAATATAAACCAAAGAGAAACTCTCTCTCTCTCTCTAATATAATCTTAATAAAAATAATAAAAGTTTACCTGATGTTAAATTGACGTTCTGAAAGGATAGGTATTTAATGTTCGATAAAAAATAAGTGTAGTTAAAGGTTGTTTGTGTTCCTAACTTGTCCATTCAAAAAGAGCCGAGGTTTTGGTACTGTGAGGGAGTATAGAGAATTCCTCCACTGGTTGCATTGAAAGCTTAGAATTCGTGTCCATTACGCCAATCCTTATCGCAAAAATAAAGCTACAGTTACAACCTTAATTTCTGCCGAAATCGTCTGAGGGTTTCAGCCCTCTAGGTACTTTACCTGTCATCCTAAATTGGATAAACTCGTTCGACTCTGTTTAATTTGTGATACTTTGAAATAAAACTTTAACGCCATTTTTCTTGTGTTGTTTTATTTATGATTACTATTAGAGCATTTTTCAATTTAGTGCCGAATGTAATTCGGGATTGTTTTGTTTTTGCAATGTTTTGCTCAGTGATTGGTCCAGGAAACTCGCGCCAATCTTTCAGATCAGGTGTAAAACTAAAGCCAATCACGACTTAGTCGCTCGCGTTTTCCCGCGCTTTTTGTGAGACCTCGTAAGGAGAGAAATATAGATCATAACAATGTTAGCTTGGGACTCTCTTCCAACGACTCTCAGAGCTGAGAATAAACTTTTAAAGAGAATTATAATCATAATGTTAATGATAGAGCAATTTTCAATTGTGTGTCCAAAGTTATCCATAGTTGCTTCCTTTTTTTTTTTGCTCTTCGCTTTGTGATCGGTTCAGAAAACTCGCGCCAATCTCTTAACCAATCAGACGCTAAAGTAAAACCAATCACGGAGTAGCTTGAGTTCATAACGTAAAATGGGTTATTAATACCAATTTACCTTGTGATACTCTCCCACCGACGTAGCACTACAGTTTCTTTAGAAACTTACTCTCCTTATAAAACCAATCACAACTCTTTCTTCTGCGTTTTCCCGCGCTTTAGGAAGTTTGGTCGGATTTACTTTGAGGTCTCTTAAAGGTATTTTCTTTTCTTCCGATTGGCCGTTGTTATTACTCTGGTTTTGGTTTTATGACTCTCAATTGAAAAGTGCTTTATGGCTCTTACCATTATTATATTACAGTTGAGGTTCAATAAATGAACAAATGCCTTAACTTTACGCCCTTTAACGCCTTGGAGTGATTTAAATATGAATTCTCCATACAAAACTATCTACACGTTATCTATATAATAACAAATCAGAATACACCAACTCATTAATCTGAGGGCGATTTCTTTTTTCTTTTTTTTTGGTTTGTGACATAATACCGAACTGATTCTCTTTATCAATTTATAGAGAAAATTAAGGCAGCTAGTAGGGAGAATTGCGAATCAAATCTTAGCAAAATGAAAAGATCCATGACTTTTTGTAATCTCAAGTGAAAAGAAACAGTGCCATAATTTTCGCATCGTAAAAAATTCACCCAATATTTCCTGTTTTTAACTTTTCAATCGTGTGTTCATTTTTACTCCTCCTTTTGGGAAAATTGCATTACCTACTGAACACCTGGGCCGTGTATAAAAAAAAAAAGCACTCAAAATAGCTGTGCAAATTTAAAAGTTCTTGTGTAAAGTAATACCAGTTTTCCTTCAAGTGTACAGGAGGAGAAGTCTTTGTCCAGGATTAGTCGCTACTCTGTCTCTTGTCGCCTTCATTCTCGTCCTCTGTCGGTTCTTTTTGCCTAAAACAAACATTTTGAGTAAAGAAGATGTAAGATATGTCCAGAAATGCATGAAGTAACGAAAATGGCAAAAATTCGTCAAAATCGTCAAATCCATGAACATTCACTCGCTTTGAGAAAGTTTCGTCGAATCTGCTATTTTCGTTACTGGGTGCATTTCCGGACATAAGTGAAAACATTTTACGAGAGAGCTAGAAATCACGTTTCCATCATCACTTGGCTGTTGTTATTGACTTAGCTTGTTCACCGTATTTATTAATTTATTAATAAATTAACAAGTCTCTATGTATTTTTTTTTCTCAGATTGCGGTTGTTGCATGCATTGATCAATGGCTTAAATGTTAAAAATCTTAAAGACTGAAATAACCATACTGAACCATGACCAGTTAACAAACTGTCAGAATGTGCTCTTTGTGTAGAAGATTAAATCTTACAGTCATAAAATGTTTTCTTCACAAGCAATGGTAGATAATGTTACTTCTACAAAATCAGTCACCAGAAACAAGCTTACCTTAACTTCTGTAAGTCAAATGTCACGTTGTCTCCCATCAGCACAAACGGAGCCCATTGACGAGGTTCCGTGAAGCCGTTGCTTCTCAACCACTTCATGGCCTGGTGAAGGGACTCGCTGGCACTTTCTCCAGCAGCCAGGCGTTCATAGAAATGATTCATGAGCTGCTCTGTTGCTTCGTCTTGTATGGCCCACGATGCCACCAACACTGAACGTGCACCAGATGCTAGGAATGCGCGAGCGATTCCAATGACTCCCTCTTGTTTGAACGTTCCACGCCCACTGTGACAACAACTAAGTACGACCAGTTTAGCATGCAGCTTAACCTTTGAAATGTCGGACATTGTCAGAAGGTATTCTTCTTCTTGTGGAATACTGTTAGTGGCGCAATTAGGGGAAAGGGCAATCTCTCCTCTGTCGGCATGACCATGAGCAGCAAGATGAATTAGACTTACTGAATGAAGTGCGTTAAGTACTGCCTGCTTTGTTGCGTGTTCTCCTAACAAAGGCTGAACCCCCAGGAGTCGACCAACCATTTCTGCTTCCTTTCTTGCACCAGACAATGGTATCAAGTTCAGAATACGTCCTCTGTATCGCACTTGGCCAGCCTTAGGATCACCCACTACCAGTGCACCGGTCTGACTGTGGTAGTCCGCTGGACATTCCTGGATGATCCCGAGAGTTGTCAGAGAAGGGACGATGCGGATTCTGTGGGTTTCTGATAAATACTTTCCTATTGGCTCATCCCGTAAGGCAGCAAATGGGACTCGGTAGGAACACCTCTCAGGTACAATGATGACTTCAGGCTCTGTGAGTAAATCTTTTACAGGAGCGATAATCTGGTCATAGCACAATTGAAGAATTATTTCGTTGCGTTTGGTTTCGTCACCTTGCAAAGGTGCTCGGCTCTCTTCTTGAGGAGACAAGGGAATGTCGTCACCTAGAGATCGATCTTCGCAATTCTCGTCCGGATGCAAAATTCCGAAACTGGAGGCACTCTTTTTAAAAATATCCTCCACATCGCAAACGAATGCAGCCATGAGAGTGTCGATTTTCAGTTCGGGGCTCACACGATGGTCAATGTGTCCATTTGCTTTTAAGACCCACAGATGAACATGTCGTTCACAATATGAAATGTACAAAACAGCACAATTGCTCTCTTTACTCGCAATGCTTTCGATCTCAGGCCGATATGATGAATCAGTTAAGATGTGGCTTTCAGTTAAGAGTTTGTCCGCCATCAATTCTACGAGGCCTCTGGCGCGTCTCAGCTCCTCCACCTTAAGAGAATCTCGCAGGTTACCGTTGGCACGCAGTATCTCACTGTACAACTTATAGGGGAAATTACCGTGCTTCTCTAAGAGAGACGTTTTTAATTCATCGTTTCCTTTGAGAAAATTTCGCAACTTTTCATAAGTTTCAATACTTTGACGAAGATACTGCATTGCCTCCTCTATCTTTGATTGAGACATCTTTACCCGAGTAATTCCGAGAAGGCCCAGAAAGTAAGTCATATTGTCTCCAATTTTGCTACTCATCAAGCACGCATTCTCAAAGTATTTTTCCGATTGGTCATAATTGCCAAGCGATAGAGACAAGTGTCCAGAGATTATGTAACTCATTCCCTGTCCTTCCCTATTACCAATGTTCATGACGATAGCATGCGCTTTTTCCCACAGTTCTGTAGCCTTCTGGTAGTCATCAAACATATAATGCAGATTTGCCAGACCTGCGTAGCATAGTCCTTCACACAATCTGTCGCCGGTTTCTATACTGATGGCGAGTGCTTTGTCAAATTTTTCCTTGGCCAGCTTGTTTTTACGAAGTGATAGAAACACACCTCCAAGGTTCACGTAGCATCTTCCTTCTCCATTCCTGTCACCAATTTCTATTGCGATAGCAAGTGCTTTCTCGAGATATTCTTTAGCCTTCTGATATTCACCGAGTGATTCAAACACACCTCCAAGGTTCCCATAACATGTTCCTTCTCCTTTCTTATCGCCAATTTCTGTTGCGATAGCAAGTGCCTTCTCTTGATATTCTTTAGCCTTCTGATAGTCACCGAGTGATATAAACACGTTTGCAAGGTTCCCGTAGCTTGTTCCTTCTGCATTCCTCTCGCCAATTTCTGTTGCGATAGCAAGTGCTTTCTCGTGATATTCTTTAGCCTTCTGATATTCACCGAGTAATTGAAACACGACTCCAAGGTTCCCGTAGCATGTTCCTTCTCCGTCCTTAAGGCCCATTTCTGTTGCAATAGCAAGTGCTTTCACATAATGTTCTTTAGCCTTCTGATATTCACCGAGTGATCTAAATAGACATCCAAGGTTCCCGTTGTGCCATCCTTCTCCATTCCTGTCCCCAATTTCTGTTGCGATAGCAAGTGCTTTCTCGTGATGTTCTTTAGCCTTCTGATATTCACCGAGTGATTGAAACACACCTCCAAGGTTCCCGTAACTTGCTCCTTCTCCTTTCCTGTCCCCAATTTCTGTTGCGATAACAAGTGCTTTCTCGTGATGTTCTTTAGCCTTCTGATATTCACCGAGTGATTGAAACACACCTCCAAGGTTCCCGTAGCGTGTTTCTTCTCCTTTCCTGTCGCCAATTTCTGTTGCGATAGTAAGTGCTTTCTCGTGATATTCTTTAGCCTTCTGATATTCACCGAGTGATTGAAAAACGAGTCCAAGGTTCCCGTAGCATGTTTCTTCTCCTTCCTTATGGCCAATTTCTGTTGCGATGGCAAGTGCTTTTTCGTGGTACTCTTTAGCCTTCTGATATTCACCGAGTGATTGAAACACAAGTCCAAGGCCCCCGTTGTGTGTTCCTTCTCCTTTCCTGTCCCCAATTTCTGTTGCGATAGTAAGTGCTTGCTCGAGATTTTTTTTAGCCTTCTGATATTCACCGAGTGATTCAAACAGACCTCCAAGGTTCCCGTAGCATGTTCCTTCTCCATTCCTGTCGCCAATTTCTGTTGCGATAGTAAGTGCTTTCTCGTGATATTCTTTAGCCTTCTGATATTCACCGAGTGATTGAAATACACCTCCAAGGTTCCCGTAGCATGCTCCTTCTCCTACCTTGTTGCCAATTTCTGTTGCGATAGCAAGTGCTTTCTCGAGATATTCTTTAGCCTTCTGATATTCACCGAGTGATTCAAACACACCTGCTAGGTTCCCGTGACTTGTTCCTTCCGTATCCCTGTCGCCAATTTCAGTTGCAATAGTAAGTGCTTTCTCGTGATATTCTTTAGCCTTCTGATATTCACCGAAGAATCGAAACACGACTCCAAGTTTCTCATAGACTATTCCTTCTCCTTTCCTGTCGCCAATTTCTGTTGCGATAGCAAGTGCTTTCTCGTGATATTCTTTAGCCTTCTGATATTCACCGAGTGATTGAAATACACCTCCAAGGTTCCCGTAGTGTCTTCCTTCTCCTTTCCTGTCGCCAATTTCTGTTGCGATAGCAAGTGCTTTCTCGTGATATTCTTTAGCCTTCTGATATTCACCGAGTGATTCAAACACACATCCAAGGTTCCCGTAGCATGCCTCTTCTCCTTCCTGGTCGCCAATTTCTGTTGTGATAGCAAGTGCTTTCTCATAACATTCTTTAGCCTTCTGATGTTCACCGAGTGATTCAAACACATGTCCTAGCCTGCCATAAGTGGTTGCTTCTTCACTTCTAAGGCCAATTGTTTTATTGATAGCAACTACGCTTTCAAAAAGTTTCTTGGCCTCTGCAAACCTATTTGTTCGTTCATATTTGTCTCCCAGTTCCATCATTGATTTTCCAGCATTGCATAATATGCCAATAAGTTTGTTGGTGTATCTTACTGCATTTGTGTAACCAGAGATTGCGTAGTATACATTAAATATTACCTCAGAGACATCAAGGCCTTTAATATCAACGTCTAGGTTGTTGAGTAAGATGACACATTCATCACAAAAATCAGAGGCTGGTATACCACGATCAGTTTTCAGAAGATATGTAGCAACATCCAAACCTATGCTGATTTTCTCCAGGATTTCACGCGCGTTATTCATCGCTCTTTTGTGTTTAACAGAATGCCTTCCTGAAATGGAAAAAGTGAAAATACAGAAAACTTAAATAACTAAATTAGATGATGACTTTTGGAAGCCATCTCTGTGCAACTATTTTTAAGGCAGAGCGCTCACTTGCCATGAACACTTGTTGGTTTAAGCGCAGTTTTCCATTGCTAATGATTCGTGCATGTAAACAACAATTGTGGACAAATTGTTTTGTAAAAATGTGTGAAAACATCCAATTTTGAGACCTAGCCTATCGCAGGGGGGGGGGGGGAATGGGTGGTGGGTGGGTGGGTCTCCGAACCTTTACTAGAATTATTTATACCCCCCCCCCCTTACCCCTGGTTTCGACTCCCAGCCGCATCTCTCGCTCGTATCAGTGTCACATTGGATACAAAGTACTGGAGATAACTTAAACTTCGGGAGGGGGGGCGGAATGGAACACTTTTGTTGTTTTACGATAACATGCAGCTGACCTCCCCCCCTATGGTTCTGAAAATCATGTGATCCCTCCCAAAATCCTCCACCCCCTTTAGGCGATCATTTATAGCCCGTGTCTTAGATGGAAAAACGATAAATAAATAATTTCAAACTGGTCCATATTAATACTGATTCCTTCGGCTGGCTGATGTTTTATCTGCGCGCAAGTAATTCAGATGAAACATGTCAAAAGTATTTCAGATTTAAAACTGGTTTTTTTTTTAATTCATTGAGTCGGTAGTTTAATTTCTGTCACAGAACACTATTGTATTCTTTTGTCAACCACCGCATAGGCTCACTTTGGGCAGACATGCAGTGAAATTTATTTTTGACGCCTAGAATAATTTGTTGAATATCTTTATTTAAGGAGACTCCATAGGGTTTTTTGACCGCGCGAGATCTGGGTGCGAACATAGCGCGAGCTTTAAAAGTGTCATCATGCAAAAAAACATGGCGGCTAGATACGATCGCACAATTGTCATCTGAAATGGTTTGTGAAAAACAGTTGAACACAATGCAGTTTTTATGTGATGGAATCAAGGCTTTCCAGCATAGGCCTCTGGAAAAGAGGTCAACTGAACAGAAAAGACCGTGGGAAAGATTGTCAAAAGGGGCCAGATGCTGTGACATAGTCGAAAGTTTACGCATGCTCAGGGCAAACCCAAGCGGGCAAGATGGGCCCAGGATTCGCTTCATATTGCCTGCGGACGCTGCCAGCTCTATAATAAATTGTAGTGTTATAAAGTAAGGACTTCACTGATCCGAAAACACTCTACACTAGTCTTACAACATGCAAAGAAAAAGATTGGAGATTTTGCATTTTTTTTTTGCTCTTAAAATTTGATCTGCCTTGTTTCTTATTAAACCTCCAACTCTCAGAGGTGATTTTCAAGTAGCTTCTCCTTTGCAATATCAAAGCATTAACACGCAAACAGGTGATGAGAAAACAGAAACTGATCAGCTCAAGGATGTCATCTCACCCAACATCAAATTCTCTAAACTTGTTTTAAAGGAAATGTATAGGAGCAAGAAGGGAGAATTACTAATCAGATCTTGGAGTTAAGGGTTTAAGGGTGGCGTAGTCCGATATTTTTAGCTCATAGATTTATGTTTATATTGAACATTGTGGCGGAAAATCTCCCTCATTTTCTGAGATTCCTTGGATCTCTTATACTCCTATCACTGATTGAAACAAGTTCTCGTACAAAGCAAATTTTTTTAGTTTTAGAGTAGGAAAATAACATTTTTCTAATGGTTAATTTTTTTAAGCTGCTTACCTTACACACAAACACGCGCGGAGTTTAATGCGTTGATGGCGTGACAAACATAAACCAAAAGCAAGAAACTGAAATAAAACCCCAAAAAAAATATGAATGCAAATAGCAAGAGTCACGCGGGTAAAGAACAAAATATTGATTTGAACGATAAAAAAAAAATCCCTGCTCCTCCAAATCGTCACCAGTTTTAAGAGGGTCTCAATGGGGTGATAGCTTTTACGGCTAATGGTTAATTTCCTTCCATTACAATTAAAAGAACATTTTTACCGGTTAATTTCTCACGATTTCTGGTGAGAATTTGTCAATTTTTACGCCGAACGGCTAATTTTCCTGCCATTTTACGGCTACCGGTCAACTCCATTTCCCCACTTAAAAATCTCCTATCACCCAATTTAGGCAAGTCTATGTCAGAAACATGTCAGGATTTAGAGAGACTGAGTTTAAATGAATTAGTCTTAACCTACTTACCTTTTAAATACGTAAAGTTTCCCAGTTCAGTATCCTGATCGTTTGATGAATGAAACCAAATAAAGATGCTCCCTGCAAAACAAAGATTTATGAAAATAGCCAGTGTTATCAAAAAAACAAAACAAAATAATGATAACAATAATAATAGCAATAATAATTACCAATGCAGACCGAGATGAGATAAATAAAATCTTTCTCTACTTCTGAGATTGTTTGTAATGCTGGATGCTGTATCATAAATATTTCACTGCGTTTCGGTCCAAAATATTTCAGTTTTCAGAGACGAGAGAAGAATATTACTCAATTTCATTCTTCTTCTTCTTCCCTTGCAAAAATAAATCCTCTCTTTCGGTATTATTTCTGATCGTATGACAAACGGAACCAAAATTAATAATCTAAAAAAACAAAATTCCTGCAAAATAAAGATTGGAGAAAAATAACTCGGATGAAGAGAAATTACGGCCTTGTTCGGTAAAATAATAATAATAACAATAATCAAATCCCTAAAAGAATATTATAACATCTGTTGCTTTCTTTTTCCTCATTCCTATTTCTTAAAGAAGAAACCTCTGACAGAAAAGAGAAGTTATATCACCAATGATGATACGCACGTATTTTTCACAAGATATCATCAAGATCTCACTACTAATTCTCCTTACTGTCTCCCATACAGTTCTTGTGATCTTAGTTTGGAGAATTTGTTATTCGATCAACTTAAAATCTCCTGACTGATATTTTTATTATTATTATTCTCATCACTTGTCCGCTTGATGTTGTATTGATATTGTAAGGAGAAATTCTGTCTTGGTCACTCATGGGAGCTAAAGTGTTAACCTATTAAAAAAACTGCAAGAGGACTTAAAAGTGATCTTCCCCCCCTTACACCAGTTTCGAAGACTTCAGAGCTAATAGCGGAGCTCGCAGAGCGTAGCTCCATAATTATACAAAATAGTAGTAACCCATTAAGCCGAAAAAATTTGGACTTACGACCGTACGACCGACCGTACAAGATGCTACTTTTAACGTGCGTGGTCAACTGTACCGCGGGCACACCAAACGCCACGGCTTTGTGTAGTAAGTAGTCTAGTAGTCAGTGCACTGAACTCCGAGTTGGACGACTTGGGTTCTAGTCCTGTCCGGGGCAAGGCGTTAAGCCCTTAAGACGTGCGGGAAAAAAATGCGAGCTCCGCTTTTAGGCTTGGCTAAATCTATATATTACGAAGGTTATTGAGGGGAAACCAGCAGGGAACACCCACGCATTTTGTGAAAACGGTTGTGGTATTTTGCAAGAATTAACGCATTTTGTAAGACGCAACGCAGAAATTTGTGGCAAGATCGGGTTACGCATGTTGTAATGATGGCTACAACATAATCATCGGCCAACGCAATCTCTATTTGTGGAATAATACCTTTTTTGCAAGAGCAATATACTACAATTTGCTTTAGGATGAAATTTCAAAACATAGGCATGCTATGCATGCAAGAGTTATTTTTTGTAGGGTGGGTCGATTACTTAAAACATTGTAAGTGGTCTACATTCTTACAAAAGGAAAGAAGGGTATTAACGCGGAAAAGAACGAAAATGTCGAATTACCTCACACACAGTTATTTTGTGGTAGATTATGTGTGTTGTGCGAATAAATGTAACCAAAAATAAACTGTATTGGTGCCACGGATACCTGTTAGTACAAAATGCAGACAGCAGACTGCAGACCGGATACAAAATATAGATGCAGACTGCAGAGTGGGTACAAAATGCAGACTGAGAATCTGAAGAGTTTTTACGTCTGGTATATAATAACATGTTATCTTACAGCTAACCGAGCGTCACGCAATCGCTTTTCCGCGATCAGCCTTCACGATTGTTTGCACTATTGTGGAAAATTCCTAGCCCATTTCTTGATGAAAATCGATCGTAATATAATTTCAAGCCTTCAATATAGTCCTTTTACTTTGCACGCGAGTTGGTTGGTGTGATGTTTGTACAGATTTTACTAACGTAATAAAAGTAGATGACGTGAATAAGTGATGTGTGAAGCAAGCTTAAAACGGCAGAAATCGCCAGAAACTACAACGGATACACAGGGTATAAGTAAGTTCTATTGATTTTACGAGAAAAATGTTCATATTTCGAAATATTTTTCGTTGTAAATTGACCATATTTCGTTCCCTATACTATTCCTTATAACGTGTTCAAATTTTCAACGGTTCCTCTCGTAACTTAACACCGAGTCACACAAGGGCGTCTACAAAACGAAGACCGAAGACCAAAGACCGAAGACAGAAGATCGAAAAACGAAGACCCTAATATTTTTGCCCGAATAAGGCACGGACAGTTAAAAAACCAAGCCAAAGCGTTCCTCAGCGCAAACAGATGTAAAAATACGGGGATCTTCGTTTTGTAGAAAAGACCCCCTGAATCTACAAAACGAAGACCCTTACTAAAACGCTTTCTTAGACCCCAATTGACGCGAAATCAAGGGGGTCTTCGTTTTGTAGAAAAGACCCCCTGAATCTATAAAACGAAGATCCTTGCTAAAACGCTTTGTCAGATCCCGGGGAAGTGTAAGTGTATTTTCAATAAACTCTTATTTTATTGTATTGTATTGTACCACTCGCACTGTTATCGTAGCTACGTTTCGTGGCATCAAGTGAATCCAACATGGCGTCTTTCTTCACAAGCAGTTTGCATCCATTAGAGTTTTGTTCTTCAGTCTCACGGTAGTAGTGTTGTTCAATAGATTGCATAGAGTATATGCAGTTTGGTTTCAGATTTTAGACTTTGCCCTATACAACAAGTGTACGTTTTTCAACTAAGACATTGGCATACAAGGCATACAAGGCATACAAGGCATACAAGGCATACAAGGCTTTCATGGCTTTCAAACGTTCGCGACTCAATCCGTTCCAAAATTACCGCTCAATAACATATTTTAGTGTGGATTGGCCGCGAACAATACGTCTGTGTATGCGTCTGTAAGTATTTTGAGCGTTTGCGCCATAATGCTCCAGGTGATCGTAATCCAAACACGTTGAAATACAAAACGACTGACAAAATAGTTTTGTAAGCAAAAATCTCGTGATTCGTCGTGTGACCCGGCCCTGTCCGTGCATGACAACGTCAATCACCATCAAAATA